CTCACTCAAAACTGTCCGTTGTTCTCCTCACGTTTCATTTATTAAAGTCCAATAACGATTGTTCCATTATGTTGTTACTATTTGTGTTCAGACCTTAATATTTTAATTCTAATTGTTGACATTTTATTGAACGTATCATACTGAGATAAACAAAATATGTTATCTGTGACAAATTTGACAGTCACAATGAATACCAAAGCTATTCGTTTATTCCTTATGCACGATAAATCAATTTCGAGGGGCATAAATATACGCTTTTACTCCACGTCCCAGAATATTGACAATATTCTTACAAATGTCTTATCTACAAATTGTTTAGAATTCGCCTTACTTTGACTGGCTCAATTAATCCTTGTCATCGCATGACGTGAGAAATACGACGGAGAAGAGTTTTCCGCTCACATCTGCGCATATATGTAACTGCAAGAGACGGCTTCAGAATGTCTCAGACAAAGAAGACTGATACCATGGCGTTGTGTCATCTGCTTATATCAATCTCTCTTCTACAGAGGATAACATGCTTGAGAACATCCTACTGGACAACATCATCTAAGTTTAACTCCACCGCAATTGAACGCTTCCAAAACTGGACAACATTGCCCCATTGTGTAAAGGCCTGTCTGGAAAGGGATGGTTGTAATGCCATAGTTGTAAAATTTAAAGTCAGGGGAACAAAAAGACAATGTGCGCTGGTTTATGATAGATTTCTACACACACAAGACGACACAATACACAATCAGTTCTTGACGTATGTACCACGAAACACGGTTGCCGGTGGATCAGCGACGGACAACATATCCTTCTCAAAGTGGGCGGAGCTGGGAGACAAAGATGAAGCATTTATTGAGGATGCTAACGGAAAAGATGAGACATTCCCAAGTACAACGCCTCAAACAGCAATCATCAATGAAACAGGTCTGGGTGAAATGGAGACATCATCAGCCAGTCATGCTGAACAAGGGGGAGGACTACAACACGGCTTGAAAGCAGAACAGGATCATCCACAACATGAGATCAAAAAAGAGGTGGAGCAATTCACATCGGAGGCCAAGAAGGATGAGATCAAATTTTCACAATCGACAAACAATTTGTTTGAAAAGGTTGAACCATCTACAGCATCAACAACAGAAACTCAACCGTCGTCTTCCAGGGTTGGAGGACAACATAGCACACGGCAGTCCACTTCTGCCACAGGTAGACCGACATCGTATCTTAGGAAAAACTCGAACAAGGACCGAGGAAAATCTATAACAATACAATATAGCACACGGCAGTCCACCTCTGCCTCAGGTAGACCGACATCGTATCCTAGGAAAAGCTCGAACAAGGACCGAGGAAAATCTATAACAATGCCCTTAACACCAGCAACAGTTTGGCAAACATTGCCTCCCGGGAAATCCAGGTATAAGGACCGAGGGCAATCTGTAACATTGCCATTCACATCTACAGCAGGTATACAGCCACAGTCTCCTAGGACTACCTGGGAAACCGACCAAAGACAATCAGTTACAATACTACCCACACCAATCACAGGTAGGCAAACACTGCATCCTAGGACAACCTCGTTCAAGGACCTGACACAAACCGAACCAGCTCCAGCCACTCAAACAAAGAGGGTGCATGTTGCAGGGAAAGCTGTTCAATCATTGAACAGAACTCAGGTCCAACCCTCAACATACCTGGTGTTGCTTCCACAGTACACGACTGGAAAACGAAAAAATGAGAAGAAACCTACAATTTGTGTTTTAAACCCGGAAACATGGACTTTTATAAATCGAAGCATTTACATTCCTGGGAAAATTTTAAGGACTGTGGTGGATTTTAAAACAATGAAGCTATATTGGTTACAACATATGCCAAGATATAGAGTTTTTGTCTTTAGGTCTAGATCAATTTCAACGGAAGGCCCAAGAAATAGGCAGATTAGAATCATAAAATCTAACGTTATGGACATTGATATACCACACAACACTTTTTACTTTGTTGAAATGTCAGGGAAGAGGATGGTTGCGTTCAAGAGATGTATTGTATTTAAAACACATATAAGCCCTAGCTTTCAGAAAGCGAAGGCAATCTATACGTTTCCAAGGAAGTACAAAATGAGTCAAATGATGCCTTCTTGCTTCCGAGTGGACCAGGACCGACTGTATTGGTGCAGAAATCGTGAAACCTATTTGAAAATGTACACTGCAGATTTGAAACATAGACACAGACACTACATGAAACTGATTCTGATAACAGCGGATGCCTACATTTACCCGTTCAAAAAGTATCTGTACTGGACAGATAAATTGGGTAATTTTTCAGTGTCGAAATTTAAGGATAAAAAGACCAAGCGAATTTCTGGATGTGGCTCACGTGTGGAGTCTCTGGGATCTATCGGTAGGTATGGTGGGCTCTGGTATCTCACCTGCTTCACTGGTAAAGTTACCGAGATTAATTTCTTTGATGATAAAATGAAGAAAGTAAAAAGTCTTCAGGTCGAATTTGAAGGCAAAGTGGCCTCGGCGTATTAAATTATTAAATATATGAACATGACCGAAGTGTCAGTTGAGACAGTGTGTAAATATTCAAGGCTGTAGCACCTTTCGAATTCAGCATCACTTCTCGCGAGGACGACCTCTGCCAAAGGTCACATTTCACGAAGACTGCTCGACAAGAGGGATGGCTTCAACTTTCCCTTTGGTCGAGCACCATTCCTGCAGCTCCAGCCCTTGGTGTCTACATTACACACCAAGAATTCCAAGAGCGGCCTACGACTCTTTCTCAGATGTTGTTTGATGAAGGTTAAAAGGATCAAGTCCTCACCAAATCTTTCAAAACATTTTATGACTGTTATGTTTATGTGTTTGTTTGTTTGTTGTTTAACGCCGCGCATTCAACAATATTCCAGCTATATGACGGCGGTCTGTAAATAATCGAGTCTGGACCAGACAATCCAGATTGACATCATCAGCATCGATCCAAGCATTTGGGATACGATGACATCAATCACTGGGCTGTCTGGCCCAGACTCGATTATTTACAGACCGCCATCATAAAGGTGGAATATGGCCGAGTGTGGCTTTAAGTAACAAAATCATGAAAAAATGTGGACGTATGTGTACATTTCACTTCGATACAGACACATCCCATCTTCATCGTCAATACCAACAGATTTGAGGTTAGTTCTGTGTAAAGCAACTATTAATATAAGGGTAACGCTATTTTTCAGGGCATTATCATTTGCAGAAGCCCGAGATCTTCCATTTACTGCCCGACGAAGGTGGGCAGTTGAAAAGACCGAGGGCTTCTGCAAATGATAATGCCCTGAAAAATAGCGTTACCGTTATTATAGCTAAAATGGATGGAATTTGTTATCAAATAAAAAGAAACAACAATGTCGATTTTGAAACATTTACTGCAATCAACACGAATGTCACTGACCCATTTTTACAAATATGGAAACGTCATAGAACAAACCAGATGACGTCACTATTGAACGTTACGTCACCTATCCCTATCCTATGACGTCACCTAACAACGGGCGTGATAATGGCCCGTCGTCAAGTAATATGAGGGCATTATCAAGTTACAGTGGCCCGCTCATTTCTGATAACATGCGGGCGTTTTTATGATAATTCTATCCATTTTAGCTATAATGATTATTATAGCTAAAACTGATAGAATTATCATAAAACCGCCCGCATCTTATCAGAAATCAGCGGGCCACTGTAACTTGATAATGCCCTCATATATTGTTTGACGACGGGCCATTATCACGCCTGTTAGGTGACGTCATAGGGTAGGGATAGGTGACGTCACGTTCAATAGTGACGTCATCTGGTTTGTTCTATGATGTTTCCATAATTGTAAAAGTGGGTCAGTGATTCGTGTTGATTGTAGTAAATGTTTCAAAACCGATATTGTTGTTGTTTTTCATTTGATAGCAAATTCCATCCATTTTAGCTATAATAAAGTTAACGCAATTTTTTCAGGGCATTATCATTTGCAGAAGCAATCTGTCTTCTCAGCTGCCCTCCTGCAGTTAATGGAAGACCTCGGGCTTCTCCAAATGATAATGCCCTGAAAAATAGCGTTACCCTTATATTACACTATCACGTTTCCGTACCCTGTAAGTTTTTCAAATTCTGACATCTTGAATGTAGCGACCCGTGAACATCCGGGTTAGAAAATGTCTTCTGCAACCCTTGCTTGCCGTCAAAGGTGACTATGCTTGTTGTAGGCGACTAACGGGATCGGGTGGTCAGGCTCCCTGACTTGGTTGATGAATTTCATCGATCTCAACTGCGTGGATCGATGCTCATGATGTCAATCACTGGATTGTCAGCGAGCCTGACATATTTTTTATAGTGTATGCGATGAACGTGTACAATGTGTATATCCTTCTTTATTAACTTTTGTATACCAACAAAAAACAAACATTCGAATTTAGAATTGCAGACCGGTATACAGTGACAATATAGCCACTTTATCCATCGCCAGCGTACCCATGAAGGTCCGGGTTAGAGCAGGTCTTCAGCAACCAATGCTTGCTGTAATCATATGTTTGTCGTAGGAGGCGACTACCGGGATCGGATGGTCAGGCTCGCTGACTTTTTGGTTTTAGTAACCCTGTAAAGACACTCGGCAATAATCCAGTATTACTAAATCTTTGGAAACATAAAAAAATAGATTCCAAAATCTATTGACGTTATGACAGTAAAGTAAATAGTGTTGGAGAGTATCCACTTGACCACATGACATCAGTCTTCAATATTTATCTTATGTAGGTATTTATCACAGGGAATATTATTATGACATATTTTAAACACATGCTGTTTGTATTTATTACCAACAGGCAAATGATTGATACCTGTAAACATATTACTGTTTTCTGCTGGAGTTTTTGTAGGCTCGCTGACTTGGTTGATGCATGTCATCGTTTTCCAATTGCGTAGATCGATGCTCATGATATCAACCACTTGACTGTGTGGTCCAGACTCGATTATTTATAGACCGCCGCCATACAGCAGGAATATTGCTGAGTGCGGCGTTACGAAACAAACGAACAAACAAAAATCGTCAGTGTATTGAGTTTTGTCTTTTAATAAACTCTCCGTGTGTGTTGTGGTTTCACACATCACCACCTCTGTATCCTCACTGTAAGTTGGGCACTACTTATTATATGTGTAGCTTCGAGACGCTGGAGCAGACCCGGAGAGTATCTGCAGCCCGGTCTGTATTCTTCCACGTCGATGTTGACACACTGCAGGTCTGGCGTCTGATAGAAACCCGGTATCTATAGGACGTCTGGTGTGTAATAGAAGGTCTGGCGTCTGATAGAAACCCGATATCTATGGGGCGTCTAGTGCCTGATAGAAGGTATTCCGTCTGATAGAAACCCGATATCTATAGGACGTCTGGTGTGTAATAGAAGGTCTTCCTTCTGATAGAAACCTGATATCTATAGGACGTCTGGTGTGTAATAGAAGGTCTTCCTTCCGATAGAAACCTGGTATCTATAGGACGTCTGGTGTGTTATAGAAGGTCTTCCTTCTGATAGAAACCTGATATCTCTAGGACGTCTGGTGTGTAATAGAAGGTCTTCCTTCCGATAGAAACCTGGTATCTGAAGGATATCTAGTGTCTGATAGAAGGTCTGGCGTCTGATAGAAACCCGATATCTATAGGACGTCTGGTGTGTAATAGAAGGTCTTCCTGGTATCTAAAGGATGTCTGGCGTCTGATAGAAGATCTGGCGTCTGTTAGAAACCCGATATCTCTAGGATATCTAGTGTCTGATAGAAGATCTGGCGTCTGATAGAAATCCGATATCTCTAGGACGTCTGGTGTGTAATAGAAGGTCTTCCTGGTATCTAAAGGATGTCTGGCGTCTTATAGAAGATCTGGCGTCTGTTAGAAACTCGATATCTCTAGGATGTCTGACGTCTGATAGAAGATCTGGCGTCTGATAGAAATCCGATATCTCTAGGACGCCTGGTGTGTAATATAAGGTCTTCCTGGCATCTAAAGGATGTCTGGCGTCTGATAGAAGATCTGGCGTCTGTTAGAAACCCGATATCTATGGGGCGTCTAGTGCCTGATAGAAGGTATTCGTGTGATAAAATCCTAGTATCTATTTTACGTCTGGTGACAGATAGAAGACCGGTGTCTGTAGGAAGGAATGACGGTAGGTGCAGCCTTTCAGTAATATCACGGCATATCAGCTGAACATTTTAACGTGACGTTGTTACGTACACCACGTGCGAACCCACTAACCCAGGTTGCTGACATCATTAGCGTCTGAAATTCGAACTCAAGCATTGCAGACATTGCTAAGGGACGCAACTCACAGTAAGCAGACCTGATACTACTGGCCCCCTTCTTCGATGCATCGCAAATTGGTTGTAGTGATTTAACCATCCTCTTTCAGTTGTCTGTATATGTACACATATCTAAATAAAGGACACGAGATTAGCAACCTAATCTGAGATCCAGAATGCCACATTGCACCTCTTCCTGACTCCATATTTGGGCGTTAGGTTTCCACCTTGTAATGCGGCCAGGTGGGATCTGTCCGAGATCGGCGGTGGCCGTCATAGTATGTGTTGAGGACCGTCGGACCATTGGTCACTTCCAAACGACGCTTGAAACGGTGACGTTTGCGACAAAGGACGACGATGACGACGATTACAATGATTAGGATGACCACTGCAGCGCAGACTGAGGCAATCAAAGCCACTGAAATAGAAAGCGTTCGTTTTGAGAAGAAACAATATACACATTCTGTGAGAATACATGCATATCATTAGAATATAACATTTTGTCACAATAGACAGATATGCCCCCACACACTACAAGAAAATAGGATATTATATTATCTTAAGACAGCTGTGAAGAATAAGTTTTTATCTTGTTTGTTGTTAAACGCCGCACTCATCATTATTCCAGCTTTATGACGGCGGTCTGTTAATATTCGAGTCTGGACCAGACTATCCAGTGATTGACTTCATGAGCATCGATCCACGCAATTGGGATACGGTGACATGCATCAACCACGTCAGGGAGCCTGAGCACCCGATCCCGTTAGTCGCCTATTACGGCAAGCATGGGTTGCTGAAGACCCCGGTTCTTCATTGGTCGATTATATCATGGGTGACAGCTGAGAAATTATTTCCATGTCTTACTCAACCCTAACTTAACACATATTAAGTCTTTTCTTCTTTCAAATTCTTATTTTCCTTGCACCAAATGTGTACCTGCAATGTGTTGTGATGCTGATGACTATATAATGGAATTACACCCACGACACAAGTATGTAGTCTGTAGCTCTATTGAAGAATTGGTAATTGTGACATCATTGTAGTTGATTGTACTAACACCTGGTGTCATCCTTAGAGACGTCATTATCAGAGCACTACAGCCCAATGTGCCACCAGGTGTCCTACACGTACAGGATATACCCATTCCAGATGTGAACACTGGGTGTCATCGAATGACAGGATGCACTGTCCATTGTGCGAACGTTTGGCGTCATCACTTGGCAGAAGAACCCAACCTCCTGTGAACACCTAGTGTCTTCGCTGGGCAGTACAAACCAACACATTGTGAGAACACCTGGTGTCTTCGCTGGGCAGTACAAACCAACACATTGTGAGAACACCTGGTGTCATCGCTGGGCAGTACAAACCAACACATTGTGAGAACACCTGGTGTCTTCGCTGGGCAGTACAAACCAACACATTGTGAGAACACCTGGTGTCTTCGCTGGGCAGTACAAACCAACACATTGTGAGAACACCTGGTGTCTTCGCTGGGCAGTACAAACCAACACATTGTGAGAACACCTGGTGTCTTCGCTGGGCAGTACAAACCAACACATTGTGAGAACACCTGGTGTCATCGCTGGGCAGTACAAACCAACACATTGTGAGAACACCTGGTGTCGTCGCTCAACAGTATAAACCAACACATTGTGAGAACACCTGGTGTCTTCGCTGGGCAGTACAAACCAACACATTGTGAGAACACCTGGTGTCATCGCTGGGCAGTACAAACCAACACATTGTGAGAACACCTGGTGTCATCGCTGGGCAGTACAAACCAACACACTATGAGATCACATCGTGTCCTCGCTGAGTAGTACAAACCAACACATTATGAGAACACCTGGTGTCATCGCTGAACAGAACAAACGAACACAGTGTGAGAACACCTGGTGTCATCGCTGAACAGTATAAACCAACACAGTGTGAGAACACCTGGTGTCGTCGCTCAACAGTATAAACCAACACAGTGTGAGAACACCTGGTGTCATCGCTGAACAGTATAAACCAACACAGTGTGAGAACACCTGGTGTCGTCGCTCAACAGTATAAACCAACACAGTGTGAGAACACCTGGTGTCGTCGCTCAACAGTATAAACCAACACAGTGTGAGAACACCTGGTGTCATCGCTGAACAGTATAAACCAACACAGTGTGAGAACACCTGGTGTCGTCGCTCAACAGTATAAACCAACACAGTGTGAGAACACCTGGTGTCGTCGCTGGCAGTACAAAACAACAAATTGTGTGAACACGTGGTGTCAAATACGGGAAATGAAGATCCATTCCTAGTCGGCATGGGGTAGTTATTTGTGAAAGACCTTACATTGTAAGGGGTAGATTACCTTTAGAGTGAGTGAGTGAGTATGGTTTTACGCCGCTTTTAACAATATTCCAGCAATATCACGGCTGGGGACACCAGAAATGGGCTTCACCCATTGTACCCATGTCGGGAATCGAACCCGGGTCTTCGGCGTGAGATTACCTTTAGAAGAATCATCATCATTTGTCGTCATCACGGGCGTATTCTGCTTGGTGTCATCAGTCACGGCGGTGTCCAGTGCTGAAGAAAAGAGTATTTTTGTTGTAAAGCAATGGAGACAAACGTCTGGAAGACAAGCAACTGGAAGACAAGCAACTGGAAGACAAGCAACTGGAAGACAAACAACTGGAAGACAAACAACTGGAAGACAAGCAACTGGAAGACAAACGACTGGAAGACAAGCGACTGGAAGACAAGCAACTGGAAGCAAACAGCTGGAAGACAAACAACTGGAAGACAAACAACTGGAAGACAAACAACTGGAAGACAAACAACTGGAAGACAAGCAGCTGGAAGACAAACATCTGGAAGACAAACATCTGGAAGACAAGCAACTGGAAGACAAACAACTGGAAGACAAACAACAGGTAGACAAACAACTGGAAGACAAGCGACTGGAAGACAAGCAACTGGAAGCAAACAGCTGGAAGACAAACAACTGGAAGACAAACAACTGGTAGACAAACAACTGGAAGACAAACATCTGGTAGACAAGCAACTGGAAGACAAGCAACTGGAAGACAAGCAACTGGAAGACAAGCAACTGGTAGACAAGCAACTGGAAGACAAGCAACTGGAAGACAAGCAACTGGTAGACAAACAACTGGTAGACAAACAACTGGAAGACAAGCAACTGGAAGACAAGCAGCTGGAAGACAAACATCTTGAAGACAAACATCTGGAAGACAAACAACTGGAAGACAAGCAACTGGAAGACAAGCAACTGGTAGACAAGCAACTGGAAGACAAACAACTGGAAGACAAGCAACTGGTAGACAAGCAACTGGTAGACAAACAACTGGTAGACAAGCAACTGGAAGACAAGCAACTGGAAAACAAGCATCTGGTAGACAAGCAACTGGTAGACAAGCAACTGGAAGACAAACAACTGGTAGACAAACAACTGGAAGACAAACAACTGGTAGACAAACATCTTGAAGACAAACAACTGGTAGACAAACAACTGGAAGACAAACAACTGGTAGACAAACAACTGGAAAACAAGCATCTGGTAGACAAGCAACTGGTAGACAAACAACTCGTAGACAAACAACTGGAAGACAAACAACTGGAAGACAAACAACTGGTAGACAAACATCTGGAAGACAAACAACTGGTAGACAAACATCTGGAAGACAAACATCTTGAAGACAAACATCTTGAAGACAAACAACAGGAAGACAAACAACTCGAAGACAAACAACTGGAAGACAAACATCTGCACGACAAACATCTGGAAGACAAACAACTGGAAGACAAACATCTGGAAGACAAACATCTTGAAGACAAACATCTGGAAGACAAACATCTTGAAGACAAACAACTGGGAGACAAGCAACTGGGAGACAAACGACTGGTAGACAAGCAACTGAGGACAAACATCTGGAAGACAAACAACTGGAAGACAAACATCTTGAAGACAAACATCTGGATGACAAACATCTGGAAGACAAACATCTGGAAGACAAACATCTGGAAGACAAACATCTGGAAGACAAACATCTTGAAGACAAACAACTGGGAGACAAGCAACTGGGAGACAAACGACTGGTAGACAAGCAACTGAGGACAAACATCTGGAAGACAAACAACTGGAAGACAAACAACTGGAAGACAAACATCTGGAAGACAAACATCTTGAAGACAAACATCTGGAAGACAAACATCTGCACGACAAACAATTTGAAGACAAACAACTGGAAGACAAACATCTGGAAGACAAACATCTGGAAGACAAACATCTTGAAGACAAACAACTGGGAGACAAGCAACTGGGAGACAAACGACTGGTAGACAAGCAACTGAGGACAAACATCTGGAAGACAAACATCTGGAAGACAAACATCTGGAAGACAAACAACTGGAAGACAAACAACTGGAAGACAAACATCTGGAAGACAAACAACTGGAAGACAAACAACTGGAAGACAAACATCTGGAAGACAAACATCTTGAAGACAAACATCTGGAAGACAAACATCTGGAAGACAAACAACTGGAAGACAAACAACTGGAAGACAAACATCTGGAAGACAAACATCTGGAAGACGACATCTTGAAGACAAACATCTGGAAGACAAACATCTGGAAGACAAACATCTTGAAGACAAACAACTGGGAGACAAGCAACTGAGGACAAACATCTGGAAGACAAACAACTGGAAGACAAACAACTGGAAGACAAACATCTGGAAGACAAACATCTGGAAGACAAACATCTTGAAGACAAACGACTGGTAGACAAGCAACTGAGGACAAACATCTGGAAGACAAACAACTGGAAGACAAACAACTGGAAGACAAACATCTGGAAGACAAACATCTTGAAGACAAACATCTGGAAGACAAACATCTGCACGACAAACATCTGGAAGACAAACAACTGGAAGACAAACATCTGGAAGACAAACATCTGGAAGACGACATCTTGAAGACAAACATCTGGAAGACAAACATCTGGAAGACAAACATCTTGAAGACAAACAATTGGGAGACAAGCAACTTGGAGACAAACGACTGGTAGACAAGCAACTGAGGACAAACATCTGGAAGACAAACAACTGGAAGACAAACATCTGGAAGACAAACATCTGGAAGACAAACAACTGGAAGACAAACATCTGGAAGACAAACATCTGGAAGACAAACATCTTGAAGACAAACATCTGGAAGACAAACATCTGGAAGAGAAACATCTTGAAGACAAACAACTGGGAGACAAGCAACTGGGAGACAAACGACTGGTAGACAAGCAACTGAGGACAAACATCTGGAAGACAAACAACTGGAAGACAAACATCTTGAAGACAAACATCTGGAAGACAAACATATTGAAGACAAAAATCTGGAAGACAAACAACTGGAAGACAAACATCTGGAAGACAAACATCTGGAAGACGACATCTTGAAGACAAACATCTGGAAGACAAACATCTGGAAGACAAACATCTGGAAGACAAATAACTGGGAGACAAGCAACTGAGGACAAACATCTGGAAGACAAACAACTGGAAGACAAACAACTGGAAGACAAACATCTGGAAGACAAACATCTGCACGACAAACATCTGGAAGACAAACAACTGGAAGACAAACATCTGGAAGACAAACATCTGGAAGACGACATCTTGAAGACAAACAACTGGAAGACAAACATCTGGAAGACAAACATCTGGAAGACAAACAACTGGGAGACAAGCAACTGGGAGACAAACGACTGGTAGACAAGCAACTGAGGACAAACATCTGGAAGACAAACAACTGGAAGACAAACATCTGGAAGACAAACAACTGGAAGACAAACATCTGGAAGACAAACATCTGGAAGACAAACATCTGGAAGACAAACATCTTGAAGACAAACAACTGGGAGACAAGCAACTGGGAGACAAACGACTGGTAGACAAGCAACTGAGGACAAACATCTGGAAGACAAACAACTGGAAGACAAACATCTGGTAGACAAACAACAGATGCTCGGACCAATGATACACAATGTCGTCAGTTAAGGTTGATCAAGAGAAACACTCACGTGACGCATCCTTGTCATCCGTAGATGGCCCCTCTGTTTCAGACGTTCCTGATGAAGATGCTGTTGCCGTCGTTGATGTAGTGGGTAGAGCAGTCGTTGTAGCTTCGGCAGTAGTCGTAGAACTGGTGGTAGTTGTGGGAGTTGATTGAAGTGTAGTGGTAGAACTGGTGGTAGTTATCAAAGTGGCGGTAGACGATGGAGTGGTGAGAGTAGTCGGAGTGGTGACAGTGGTTGGTATAATAGTTGTTATTGTTGTTGTCTTTGTAGTGGTAGTTGATGGGGTGGTTGTTGCAGATTTTGCCGTTGATGGGTTCCTTGTTGTAGAAGATGTCGTTGATGGGGTCGTTGTTGTAGAGGTTGTTGATTGAGTCATTGTTGTAGAGCTGGTCGGTGATGGGGTGGTTGTTGTAGAGGTGGATGTCGATTGGGTTGTTGTTGTAGAAGTAGACGTTGATGGAGTCGTTGTTGTAGAGCTGGTCGTTGATGGGGTGGTTGTTGTAGAGGTAGACGTTGATGGGGTCGTTGTTGTAGAGGTAGTTGATCGGGTTGTTGTAGATGTGGTTGTTGATGGCGTCGTTGTTGTAGAGGTGGGCGTTGATGGAGTCATTGTTGTAGAGGTAGTTGATGGGGTTGTTGTAGATGTGGTTGTTGATGGCGTCGTTGTTGTAGCGGTGGTCGTTGATGGCGTCATTGTTGTAGAGGTGGACGTTGATGAGGTCGTTGTTGATGTGGTCGTTGTTGTAGATGTGGTCGTTGATGTGGTCGTTGTTGGGGTCATTGTTGTAGATGTAGTAGTTGTGGTAGAAGTGGTTGACGGGGTTGTGGTGGTCAGTGGAGTTGTTTTTTCATTGCATGAACCTGATATATATAAAGTAGTATTAGTATGAAGTAATTATGTGGCCAAATACAACCTCATTCCTCCAAAGAGGAAGTATATGCAATGCGGAAAATATATTCAATCAGCTTGAGGAGTCATTTCATGACGTTTCGGGGCGTAAAATGTCAACAGCAGGATGTACGGAATGTTCCGATCTGATCGGGCTTGCACACCCTGCCCAGGCGAATTTATCATTTAACAAATCATGACAAAGACTTATTTCAGGTGAAATATTTGTATGTGACAATTACATTTTGGACATTAATCTGGTGACCACCATCTCATTATTAATATGGCCACTTGTGTATACAATCCATGGTGACGTGACGAACAAATGACGTCACAGAATGCATTAAAATAATAGTCCATTTGCATGGCGTCACTTTTCCATGCTGAATATCATGCTCAAAGCGCATAATTACCCCGGTCAATTGATCAGATCATTCTCCACTCATTATGCACCCAGTGCTGCCCGTGAGGCGCCAGAAGGATAGCGGCCACATTGCCATCTCATCCTACCGGGTACCCACTCACTGCTTGGTGAACAGAGGCACATTTCGAACAAAGTCACTTGCCCAAGGAGACACGTGTGTTACATGTGCTTTCGTGTTGGGCAGGGCCGAAGCCCAAGAAACTCTCAGGAGTCAAGCTGCCGAACAGTCACCCATCCAACTAGCCTCCGCACCAACGTTGCTTAAACTTCACCCGATTTGTGACCTATGCTCTGTGCACACGACCACGTTTCACCACGTCATGACGTCTTCACAAGAAGGCGAGAGACCAAACAGGTATCTAAATATTGTGCCGAATAATGATAATGACGTTTACAAGTCACACTGACCCGTGAAGATTCAGGGGTAGAATAGGTCTTCAGCAATCCATACTTGCCGTAAAAGGCGACTATGCTTGTCGTAAAAGGCGACTAACGGGATTGGGTGGTCAGGCTCGCTGACTTGGTTGATACATGTCATCGATCCCAATTGCGTGGATCGATGTTCATGATATTAATCACTGGATTGTCTGGTCCAGACTCGATTATTTACAGACCGCTGTCATATAGCTGGGATATTGCTGAATGCGGCGTTAAACAACAAACCAACCAACCAACCAACCAACCAACAAGTCAAACTAAATGATTAAACTTTTGTTTCGAAGAGTTTCCTCTCACAAGCGCCCTAACAAAAAATCCTACACCAGTCTCACCAAGTGAAAACGTCTGCTGCACACATTCAATGACACTGTCAGGATCGGCCCAGAATTCCTCCGACGTCTTTACCCGGTAGCCACTTTCACATGCGCACTTCCTGTCTCGGCATTCCGCGAACAGTCCACAGTTGTCTATTCCCGGACTACAGCCCTCGCTGATGGCCTTTGTGCCTAGCTGCGAGCACGTGTTCAACGTCGTCTTTCTGAAGAAGCTCATGCAGGCACAGATGCCGTTACTGCAGTAGGCGAAGGGGCTGAGACACTTAGAGTTGCCGTCGCAGACATCGCTGATGTTGGACGCTAAAACGGATATTGATAATTTATGTAAAACCGTCCACAATATCAAAGAAGGATATGAAAGACACAACAGAACACGATGTCGCAATTTCAAAATGTATAAATGTATATGACAGCTGAGAAGAAACTCGTCAAAGGAATAAAAGCGTCAGATTGGAATATTATGCAAATATTCCGGTGTTTGTTAATCACTGCACTTGCCTTTGTATGTGATTGTGACGGTGCAACATCTGATGCAGGATACGCTCATCTTTTCGCAAACACCCTATATCAATAATTGATAGTAATTCATAAACACATGCTTATGGCATAGTCTGAATCCAACAGTGGACTCTTTGCCGGACATTTATTATCATCGTGTTTGTTTGTTTGTTGTTAAACGCCGCACTCAGATATATTCCAGCTAAATGACGGCGGTCTGTAAATAATCATGTTTGGACCAGACAATCCAGTTATTGACATCATGAACATCGATCCATGATTGGTCTCGATGATATGCATCAACCAAGTCAGCGAGCCTGAGCACCTTATCCCGTTAGTCGCCTTTTACGGCAAGCATGAGTGAGTGAGTGAGTGAGTGAGTGAGTGAGTGAGTGAGTGAGAGAACGAGTGAGTGAGTGAGTGAGTGAGTTAGTTTTCACGGCGGGGGACACCAGAAATGGGCTTCACACATTGTACCCCTGTCAGGAATCGAACCCGGGTCTTAGGCGTGACGAGCGAACGCTTTAACCACTAGGCTACCCGACCGCCCGGTACCTTAAACAAAATATACTTTTCAGGAATGTTTACATGACTATTGAAGGAATACCTAAAAGCACATTCGGTCTATCATTCGGCCTCATACCAACCTGTCAAGCATCTGCTGCGATCTATTGAAGGCGCATACCCAACGTTGCAGAGGCAGTTGTTTCCCCTACACCCGTTTGGCCGACAGGTGGCGTAGTCTGGACATTCACTTGACGTTGTACATGTATCCAATATTGGCTTGACTGAAACTGAGACGCCATACAACTCATTATTTGTTAGAACATCAGGATGATAATTGAACGATTTTTTTTAACATTTTGTAGGTTTGGTAAAATCACTTTTTCACAAAGATAGAATATATTGGTTTACACATGATTAAAATCCGAAGGGAATTCGTCAAATATTGATAGATATATTTTAGTTCAACTTATAGGAAAATGTGTTTCTTAAATATAAATTGCCGGGCAAAGAACGTATACACCCATTTACGATGGTGGCTAAAATGAAACAAACAAGACATGGTTATTCGATGGTGAGTGAGTGAGTATTGTTTTTACGCCAGTTATAATAACATTTCATCAACATATCGGTGGAGACACAAGACATTGGATATACACGCTGAAATCACGGAGGAGAGGCGGTAGGGTAGTGGTTAAAGCGTTCGCTCGTAACGCCGAAGACCCGGGTTCGAATCCCGACATGGGTACAATGTGTGAAGCCCATTTCTGGTGTCCCCCGCCGTGATATTGCTGGAATATTGCTAAAAAAGCGGCGTAAAACCAAACTCACTCACTCACTCACAGAGGAGGTTGAACCCGTCCCTTCGACAAGAAGGGCGAAAATATAACAAATTAGTTATCCCACTCCCCTTCCCCGCCCCTTTATAAAACTAAGTGGTCAACAGAGATGTGGTTATAATGTTGAGCAAGGAAAAATAGCATCGGTTCCCTGAACATGATCATCATACTGTAGACAGAATGCAACCCACCTGTGTCTTGAAGATCCGATTTAGAGTAGGTCTTCAGCAACCCATGCTTGCCAAAAAAGGCAACTATGCTTGTCCTAAGCGGCGACTAGCGGGGTCGGGTGGTCAGGCTCGCTGACTTGGTTCATTCATGTCATTGACACCAACTGCGTGGATCGATGCTCATGATGTCAATCACTGGATTATGTGGTCCAGAGTCGATTATTTATAGACCGCCTTCATATAGCCTAACTATTGCTGAGTGCGGCGTTAAAAACAAACAAACTTGAAGAAGATGTTGGCGATGGAACGATTTGAATTCATTATATGTGCAGGAAATATATATTTATTTATTTATTTATTTATTTTTGTGTAACGCCGCACTCAGCAATATTCCAGCTGGCGGTCTGCATATAATCGAGTCGGGACCAGAAAATCCAGTGACTAACATCATGAGCATCGATTGGGCTACGATGACATGCATCAGCCAAGTCAGCGAGCCTGACCATCCGATCCCTCTAGTCGCCCCTTGCGACAAGCGTAGTCGCCTTTTATGGCAAGCATGGGTGTCTGAAGACCAATTCTACCCCGGATCTTCACGGGTATAACAGTATGCATTGTTCAAAAGGATTGTTACCTGGTGCAGTAGTCGCAGTTGTTGTTAACGTTGTCGAAGTCGTGATTGTTGTTTTCGTCGTTGTTGGAGATGTAGTCGTTGGTTTTGTAGTCGTCAAAGGAACTGTTGTCAATCCAGCTGGTAGAGTAAGGGGGCTACCATTGCACGTGTCTAACAAACGAAAAACACAGACATATTTAATATTAATCTAATTTAATAATATTCATCATACTAAGAAAAGGGGGAGAGGTACACTGTGAATATATTTTCTAAAGCGTCATATTTATATTCGCCATCTTACATAGAGACGAGACCCGTGAAGATCCGGGATAGAATAGGTCTTCAGCAACCCATGCTTGCTGTAAAAGGCGACTATGCTTGCCATAAGAGGCGAATAAAGGGATCGGGTGGTCAGGCTCGCTGACTTGGTTGATGCATGTCATCGTATCCCAATTGCGTGGATCGATGTTCATGATGTTAATCACTGGATTGTCTGGTCCAGACTCGATTATTCACAGACCGTGGTCGTATAGCTTGAATAGGTGTTAAACAACAAACAAACAAACAAACCAAGAGACGATGTTTCTTGAACACACTCAATGACACTGTCGGGATCGGCCCAGAATTCCTCAGTCGTTTTATCCCGGAAACCACTTCTACACACGCACTTCCGGTCTCGGCATTCCGCGAACAGTCCACAGTCGTCCAAACCTGATGTGCACTCTTCACCTATGACCTTTGACCCAAGCTGCGAGCACGTGTTCAACGTCGTTTTCCTGAAGAAGCTCATGCAGTCACAGACGCCGTTACTGCAGTAGGCGAAGGGGCTGAGACACTTGATGGTGACGTCGCAGGCTCTGTCGATTGCGGCCGCTAGTTAAAAAGAGAGTCATTATGGTGAGACGAAAGGAGGTTTAACTTCGCGTTCAAGATTATTCCGCTTATTTCGAGACGGGCATGCATGTGTGTGCATGTGTGTGTATGTGTGAGCGGTCTAATGCAAGTTAAAAAACATCTTAACGTGAGACAATGTCCATGTTTTTGTTTGTTTGATTGTTTGTTGTTTAACGCTGCACTCAGCAATTTTCCAGCTATATGATGGCGGTCTGTAAATAATCGAGTCTGGACCAGACAATCCAGTGCTTGACATCATGAGCATGGATCCACGCAATTGGGATACGACGACATGCATCAACCAAGTCAGCAAGCGACCACCTGATCCCGTTAGTCGCCTCTTACGACAAGCATAGTCGCCTTTTACAGTAAGCATGGGTTGCTGAAGATCTATTCTACCCCGGATCTTCACAGGGTCCACTCTTTATGAATAGATTTAATATGAAACAGATGATGACAACGAGTTGTGTCCCTTATATTAGTAGCCTTGACCCATGGATTGTGTTTACAACCTCAGAAAAATAGTGATGACGTGACAAATGGCGAAATTAACTTAAATCAAATAAAAACGAGATAATTGTTACGTCTTACAAGAAAAATTAATATCAATTTTAATTTCAATTCGTCTTTAAAATACTTCTAACAATTTACTTACCTTTCAAACAGATTGTTTGATCCGGTGTGGGGACGTATCCGACGTCACAGAGACAGGTGACCCCCTGACACCCATTGGGCCGGCAGGTGGCGTTGTCTGGACAGTCACTGTGCGCCGTGCAGGTGTCCATTATTGACTTGGCTGTAACAGAAGGATCTGCAGTCGTAGAAAAGAGTTAGTGCTTTAGTGAGGTAACTGCCACTTTTTCTTTGGGCGCAACCATTTCATTTTGAGAGGGTGTGGGGGCGGGATTTTTCAAAACAATAATTAATTAATTTCTCAGAGTGAGTATGGTGGTGTTCCACTTTTAGCAATATTCCATCAATATCAGCGTGGGTGACATCTGGAATAGACTTCACACCATGTCGCGAATCGAACACGGGCCTTTGGCGTGATGAGTGAACGCTTCAACCATAAGGCTATCCCACAGCCCCCTTTTCTCAGAATAAACAGGGAATATGAGCATGATATTTAAGGATATGATCATACAAGAACTGATGTTTGTCCATTTAACACACTTAACATCTCAAAGGAAATATGTATGAAAATGAAAAATTGTCTTCTCAAAAATAACATGCCCAGAGATCTAAGCTTTAAGAGGATGTTTACAACTAAAAAAACACATAATATTACCACAGCTGTAAACCTCTGACCATACAATCAACAGTATCAAGAGTTTGTTTAACAAAAAGTTTGTTTGTTTGTTGTTTAACGCCGCACTCTGCAAAATTCCAGCTATATGACGGCGGCCTGTAAATAATCGAATCTGGACCAGACAATCGAGAGATTGTGATCATGAGCAAAGGTCCATGTCGTTGGTGTAAGCTGGCACGCAATCAACCAAGTCTCACGGGCCATTGGGTCGCCTCTTACGACCAGCACAGGTTGCTGGGGAGGGAGGGGCGCGGGGGTCAATTCAAATCCAGAATCTCCACGGGGATCCAGTGATGTATCCAAGGCTTCTCGGCGACTAACGGGATCGGGTGATGAGGCTCGCTGACTTGGTTGATGCATGTCATCGATCCCAATTGCGTAGATCGATGCTCATGATGTCAATCACAGGATTATGTGGTCCAGACTAGATTATTTACAGACAGACGTCATATAGCTGGAATATTGCAGAGTGCGGCGTTAAACAACAAACAAACAAACAAAACTACATCTCGGAATCCCAGGAGTTGATAGTGATCTTTCGCGTATTACCTCGTACTGTCAACTCAGACGTAGTGTATGTAGTCTCAGAAGTCGAGGTTGGGTTCGTCAGAGTTGAAGTAGTGGTCGCAGTTGTGCTTGTGGTTGTTTCTGGCGATGTAGTGGTTGTAACCGTTGTCGTGGGAGTAGTAGTTGTAGTTGCTGTCGGCGTTGTAGGTGTTGTCGTCGGTGAAGTAGTTGTGGTTGGAATAGAGGTTGTTGTAGCAGTAGTAGTGGAAGTTGTTGTCGTCGAAGGTGTAGTAGTTGTGGTTGTTGTGGGTGTAGTTGTTGACGTTGTGATAGTGGATAACTGTACTCCATTGCAAGAATCTGAAATAGAAGTTAGAATAGATCAATGTAGTCTTTTATTATATTTATGGCATGATCACACAGACCACAGAGGGAAAGAACATTTTGAACTAAAATCAAAGTATTGGGCTGTATGTTGCCTTTACGCATAGATTGTTTGTTTGTTGTTTATTTGTTATTTAACCCCGCACTCAGCAATATTCCAGCTATATGATGGCGGTCTGTAAATAATTGGTTTGGACCAGACAATCCAGTGATTGATATCAAGAGCATCGATCCAAGCAATTGGGATACGATGACACGCATCAACCTAGTCAGCGAGCCTGACCACCCGATTCGTCGCCTCTTAAGACAAGCTTATAGTCGCCTTTGCTGAAGACCAATTCCAACCCGGTTCTTCACGGGTCACGCTTTGACTTGTTTGTGTCATGAATATGTAAACACCTATCATAAACATTTCATTTATCAACAAATTATCACTTCAAAATAATTTAGTTCGTTTCTTTAAATTATACATCGTTTTTTAAGTGACAATAAAAGAGATTCGCTTCACCTAACGAATAGTCCAATTCCACACATTCCTCTCTTGACTCCGGGTTCACCCAGTACTCTTCACTTGTTCTTTGACGATAGCCCGCGTCACACTGACAGGTGCCCGCTGTGCACGAGGCGTGCGTGGAGCACGTGTCTGACGGGGTGCACGTGGCCCCGACGATCTTTGCGCTCCGCGAAGCGACGCAAGTGTTCATTTCTGTCACTCTTGCAATTGACAAGCAGTCACATCGTCCACTGATGCACGTGGCATACACACCGCCAAGACATTTCACCGTGCTATCGCACGTGTCACTCACGTTACCAGCTGGAAGTGGAACAACAATTTAAATTGTGAATGGGATTATTTAATGGCAACTATTTTTGGTAAACTATAATAAACCGGAAAGTAAGTGAGTGAGTTTAATGCCGCTTTATACAGTATTCCAGTTATATCACGGCGTGTCAGCTTAATGTGGGAGGAAAACCCGATGTGATGCATGTCTCAGACGTTTACCACTTCGGTGAAACCCACGTGCACGGGTATGGTGCTGACAAACCTAGAAACATAATCGGGGCGAACCGGGATTTGAACCCACAATCATAGGTTTCTGGCGTGCCCAAGTGAACTCTGCACAGCCAATCGCGGCGCCTTAGACGAGTGGGCCATCCGTGACCCCAAACCGGAAAGGGAATGGAAATATGTATTCATCTGTTGTTACCTGATCTAACGAGTTTTCGTAATCCGGGATTCGAACATTCGGCCCCCTTTTACAAAGCATCTCAGCGCTTAGGTGATTGTAACTCCCATACTTTACTATAGAGTTACGACACTCAGAGTCACAAAATCACTTTGAGGAACGTGACCCAGGATTCTGCACGCCTTTGTGACGCATCTCTCCACATCGGAAATAACTCGACAAATTGAAAATAAACTGTGTTTTGGACCTTAAGATTCAAGTGTGTCGGCGACAGATTCAATCAAGTAACGTATTGATAACGTTTATAATGTTTGGTCAATGCAATTTTCAAGTGTATACTCCCTTTTGCCCCACAGTTTATCACTGAAAAATTCATTGAGTGAGTATGGTTTTACGCCGCTTTTAGCAATATTCCAGCAATATCACGGCGGGGGACACCAGAAATGGGTTCACACATTGTACCCATGTCGGGAATCGAACCCGGGTCTTAGGCGTGACGAGCGAACGCTTAAACCACTAAGCTACCCGACCGCCCCTATCACTGAAAAAAGGGAACGAAGTAGCTAAGAATAACAACAAAAGCTGACCATTATCTTATAAGTTAAAAAACGACAAAAACCTTCCACAATCAAACGAAAGTTCTGCCAAAGCAGAGTCCATTGTAGGATTCCGATTTTGAGTTAAATGAAGTAAATTTATGGTATAAACTCTAAGATTACGCCCGTGAGTGAGTGAGTATGGTTTTACGCCGCTTTTAGCAATATTCCAGAAATATCACGGCGGGGGACACCAGAAATGGGCTTCACACATTGTACCCCTGTCGGGAATCGAACCCGGGTCTTAGGCGTGACGAGCGAACGTTTAAACCACTAAGCTACCCGACCGCCCCTATTACGCCCGTGAAAATAACCAATTAGTATATGTCTTACCTATAAGGCATGACAGTCGGTCAGGTGACACGACATACCCCATGTGACACAGACACACGTAACCTTGGCAACTATAAGGCGAACAACCGGCGTTGTCAGGGCACCGAGATTCGTATGTGCAGCTGTGATAAATGGCTTCGGCTGAAATGAACAGAAAAAGTGCGTGAGTGAAAGGGTTTTTTCTGCTGAAGAAAATGATTTCAACTGTAAAAGCTAGTCAACAAATTATTCAACTATGAAGCTGGGAAATACTCTATTCTGAGAGTACTTTTCTATTAATTGTATCTTCCAAGGCTGTTTCAGTCAGAGCTGCATCACCGTGGAAGAAACTATTAATAGAATAGTACTTCTTTCTCATTCATTGTCCGTAGGCATTTTAAAATAGGTTATAATAAGCAGATTGCGGAAACATTCAATATGCAAGGTATGTGTGGAAATATGTTTTTGCAAAGAGCGTATTTCAATGTTTTCTTTCTAGCATAGTGTGACGTCATAAGTGTTGCACACAATCAGCGGTGTGCCGTCATGATAGTCAGGTGCAGTGTATAACTAACATTGAAAGGCTTGCTTCTCAGATTTCCGGGCGCGCAGTTCATGTTGGCTATAGTCTAGTCTAGTTGTGCTTCACGCGTTTTATGTCTGTCAAATATGTTAGTGAAACAAATTGTGGTTAAAAAAACAATGCCCAAAACACATAAAACGCTATTATTTGTTTATAGGCTTTTACCGATTCCTGACTTAAAATCAAAAATGCATTTAAAACAATGGACTAAAGCCATACCGTCTCACTCACTATCTTCGCTAAACCATCAGAGCATGTTTTGATTTGTTGTGGTAGAATGGCTAAACACGATCTGTGTCAATGCAGTTTTTAAATATAACAGTTTTGTTTACACCCTACATTTCAACGTAAAGCTGGCAAACTAAAGTCTCGGGCAAAAGAAAGTATGCATTTGAAACTTTGATTTGACCAAGACACTACAAACGTTTTCAAGACGTGACTAGGCTGGGAACTGCCATTATAATGTCCAAAACGTAACTAAGATACCAATATCAAGTACATGATCGGATAACCATTTATTGTTTGTTTAATTTTTGCTATTATAAAAATATATGTGTATACTTTCTTTCTTACCGGCTGTTTACCCGTTCATTTCCATCAGACACCACAATGATTAAGTCTGTCCTCATTTTTTTCTGAGCTTCCCATCTTCGACCGCCCTAAATTCTGACGTTATTTAAATAATAGATAAGTTTTCGTATCTCATATTTTCCCACCGCAGTGGATATTATGCCTCGATGTGATAAAAACAAAATACTTCTTACCATTGAAAACTCTTAAAAAACACAGATCAGCTTGATCTTTCTTTACTTAAATTTTAAATTTTAGTTTCGACTGAAGCAAGTGTTTTAAACTGTTATAAAATAAGTTACACAATTAGTGGAAACAGTTTTATTTTATATATTTTTCATTGCTCTCTCGCTGGTTGATGTTTGAGATATGAAACACATTAAAAAATATTGATGGCCTAATGTATATCTGATAACTAACTATCGTATTTTTTCCCGTATATCTTATTTTTCGGGATTTATGTTTGAGACAGATATATAGCCACCCCGGCGCGTTAACGTGTGTTTTGGGGGACGAACCTTAGGATTTTTTAAAAATTTTCAAACATTTCCGAGTACTGATATTCTCAAATGGTCGACACTTTACCTGTAACACTTAAGTGAATCAACACTTGATTACTCGCAGTAAATATCCCGTACAGCACTTCGAGATAATCAAACAACGCTGTCTGTTTCTAATTGCTGTAAATCCACGAGACTCGTGTCATAAAATCGCCCCCCACCTGGGAACCAGAACCGTTAGTTTGGGAAGCCAGTAATTGAATTTTTTTTTGTATTTCCGCAAATTTGCAATCAAGGTTTTTTCCAGGTATTTCCTCAAGGTAGCAACTTACAACCATGTCACCATTACAGCTATGGAATTTAGATAGGGGGTCGCTGCTATTGTGTGATAGGGTGGTAAGTCTTCCTGCATCCTCTGACAACTAGGCTAGAGGGGATGGAAGATCGTAGACACGACTGACAGTGTTTGTTCAGGGAATTGGCCCCACTGCGGGAGGTACGCGTCAGTCACGTCTGTTGTTTGCGACACGATCGCCAAGACGCGACCAAAATACTGCTTGGAAGTTGTTCACGTTGGTCGTTCGAATTCTTATCAGATTATCAGATGATAAACATGAAACATATACAGAGATTATTCTATTGTGGTAACTGTGAGAATGATAGCTTTGGTGATTCAAATGTATTTTTCATCATGTAATGTAGGTGATAGGCTCAGGATATAAAGACCTCATCTTGAGTCGGGAAATACAGTAAACTACGGTTATAACGAACACGCTTATAACGAATTGACCGATATAACGAACTTATTTTTTAGTCCCGGCCATTTGTTGCATATATGCTGTATATATGCTTATAACGAACTACGGTTATTACGAACTAAATATTAGTGGTCCCTTTGAGTTCGTTATAACCGTAGTTTACTGTATGGCATTCCCTTAACAACATTGTTTGATATACTCACAGTGGTAATTCCTTGATTACAGTTTCCGTTGATATGAGAAGACTGAATTTGTGTTTTGTTTAGAATTTGTAAAATATTTACACAAATTTATTGTATTTATGTATTTATTACAATGTATTTATACAAACATCTCATTGAATTATTGATGGGGATATTATAGATGATGATGATGATGATGGTGGTGGTGGTGGCTAGAATATACAAACATGTCATTGAATTATTTATATAGATATTATAGATGATGATGATGATGGTGATGATGATGATTGATATTGATATTATAGATATTATAGAGGAGGGGGAGGATCGTCATGATGACGGTGATGAAGTTACAATCCTATTTGAGTGTCATCATTATTATCAAGAAAATGTTTTTTAATACTTATGGTAATCGTTTCAATTATGTTAAGTACAATTGTCAACAATTTGAGGTAAAATGATTGATAATTTCACCATCTGAGCGTTTCTGAATTTAATCAATTTTCAACTGTGCTGACGCGCCATGCTGCTAAGTGTGTACAAAGTCAATATCTCAGATTGTACGTATTATACGACCCGGAAGAAGGTAGCGAAAATACAAAAACAGTGTTTGTTTGAAGCAAAAACTGAAAAAGAACAAAATTCGAAAAGAATGTTCGGTTCGGTTGGCCTTCAGGAAAAGAAACTGGCATTAGATGTAATGACGCACAAGGTGACACATTGTCATGTATGGCAAGTTCGGGGCACTGTCTCTGTTTGTTTGTTTGTTTTGTTTGTTATTTAACGCCGCGGCCAGCAATATTCCAGCTATATGACGGCTGTCTTCAAATAATCGACCCTGGACCTGACAATCCGGTGATTGATATCATGAGCATCGATCTATTCAGTTGAGATACGATGTCATACATTAACCATGTCAGCGAGCCTGACCACCCTATCCCGTTAGTCGCATCTTACGACAAGCATGCGTTGCTGAAGAGCTCTTCTACCCCGGATCTTCACGGGTCACAGGGCACTGGGGACCCTTCCTAACCCCCTACACTACCCACGAGGCAGTCTCAAGGCAGAAGTACCTGTATAGGCATCCTGTCAAGTCTTAGTCATGGAAAACAATGGCATCTATTACATCTGTGTTTGTGTGTTATATCTACATCAATGAATGATTAAGATAGTAAAGGTGTTTTTCACACATGCTACTTACTTTGAGATTCTACTCTCGGCACGAAACACAATACAAGGACAATAAATAGATTCATCTGAAACAAAACGAAAAGTAAGGCAAATATTACAAAAATCATAAAACAGTTGAAACCTGTTAATACAAAGGGTTTGGTTTCCACCGAGATCGCCCGGATTAATAAATTCACGATTATCGAATCATGAGAACGGAGTTGTTGTTTGTTTTGGTTTTTTTGTTCTTTAACCCCGCATCCAGCAATATTCAAGCTATATGACTTCTGTAAATAATCCAGTCTGGACCAGACAATCCAGTTATTGATATCATAAGTATCGATCAACGCAATTGGGATACAATTCCATGCATCAACCAAGTCAGAGAGCATGACCACCTGACCCCGTTAGTCAACTGTTACGACAAGCATAGGTTGCTGAAGACCAATTCTATCCCGGATCCTCACGGGAGTATCTTTTATACATGTATGTGTTCTCATTAGAAGGTATTTGGATTAAGAAGTTTGTACTAAGAAAGATTAACTGTATACATACTTAGCATATGCAACAAACAAAGCAATCAAGTTTGTCCAACCGGTGAAAGTTTTTAAAGAAATTAAAGGAATTCGAATTGATTCGAGATACCCCACTCAACACGAAGTGTATACCATCATCAGTTTGGCGACCAAGACTTGCTTGCTTGCTTTGTTTGTTTGTTTGTTTGTTTGTTTGCTTGTTTGTTCTTTAACGCCGCACTCGGCAATATTCCGGCTATGCGACGGCGGTCTGTAAATAATCGAGTCTGGGCCAGACAATCCAGTGATTGACATCATGATCATCGATCCACGTAATTGGGATCGATGACATGCATGAACCAAGTCAGCGAGCCTGACCAACCGATCCCGTTAGTCGCCTTTTACGACAACCATAGTCGTCTTTTACGACAAGCATAGTCGTCTTTTACGACAAGCATGGGTTGCTGAAGACCTATTCTACCCCGGATCTTCACGGGTCACCAAAACATGCATTGACACCGGATACATCTTGCCACATTTGCAATAGATCATAGATACCATATTTCATTCATCAATATATAATTTTGTAAATGTGAAAAAGACGAATACATATTTTAAAGTTCTGTACACACGATCAACGTCGTACAGCTCTTTTTAATGCACACTGAAGATGAATTCATGTAATAACACCGTAGCTGCAAATCAGAATAATTTTGAGTCTAGGTTGTTAGCACCATACCCGTGCTCGTGGATTTTAATGAGTTCGTAAATGTCAAAGATACTCTCTAGTATCCCCCCCCCCCCCCCCCCCCCCCCCCCACACACACACACACATCAAGCTGACATTCAATTATACCACTGAATTACTGTTCAAAGTGGAGTTAAACCAAACTCCCTGCCCTGTCAGTATGAGGAAGAAGTTGTTGATATATATTTAATTCCTAAAGTTGTATCGAACTTGAATTCCAGTAAAATAAATTAATCACATACGTTCCCCGTCTTACCTTGGTATTGAAAGATCCACTCATATAAAATTAACATGATAAAGTTGCATGTCTCTTATATCCGCAGACCCGTCTCCATACTGAACTATTTTCAGTACATGATGTAGTGTGGCGAAAATCACATTCCGTCTGAGGACCCACCCAACTTTTTATTTACCCGGCATCAGGATCAACAACTCTCCCTGCTTCCGCTCAATTCAGATGGCATGCAGCAACATGGCGGACAATAGCGTGTCGAGCTGACGGAATCTTTACACCACGGTGTTTATAGAGAGGGGGTTTAAGACGAGGAAATCGTGATAGGATAGTCACCGAGCTGGGTGTGACGAGCCTGTCTATATTTTTAATGGCATTGTGTGTTGGCATTGTGTCTTACTAAAGAATGCCGTGATGTTTCGAATAATCCGTTACCTCAGTCCCTCTGGGTGGAGTCATTTGGGAGTAAAATGTTAAAAGTATGTTTCTTTTCGTCGGGTGGGCAATAGTAGAAGGTATGCCGAATTATATCGTTGCTTTATTCTCATTTTGGTCACACATACGTTCGACCCGTGAAGACCCGGGTTAAAAGTGGTCTTCATGCTTGTCGTTAGAGGCGACTAACGGAATCGGGTGGTCAGGTTCGCTGACTTGGTTGATGCATGTCATCTTATCCCAAATGCGTGGATCGATGCTCATGATGGTAATCACTGGATTGTCTGGTCCAGACTCGATTATTTACAGACCGCCGTCATATAGCTGGAATATTGCTGAGTATGGCATTAAACAACAAACAAACAAACAAACATCACCATTATAACGCGAACCATATCCTGTTTGTTTCAGTTGTAACCACCTCCAAACATGGTGGGCGTATACTCTTCTTTGTCCGGCAGTTTATATCAGAACCACACACTCCCAAACAGATCATGTATAATAGGATACTGAAAACCCCTGACGATGACGTTGTCTCAAGGCTGTGAATGTTCCTTGTTGGAGACCTGTGTGTGCGTCACGTGACCCGCTGGCCTGCGGAGTCCGATGATTACTTCCGCGTTCCCCTCCCACGTGAGGAGAGTTCCATTATCCGCGTGATCAGGGTTATACTATTTATAGGTTATTTTTATTCAGTGTTTTACGTGCGCGTGTAAAGCAATTCACGATCGGGATCAGTATTCAACGCATTCGGCTTCACTCGGCTTTTCCCGTCACCAAGAGTGTGCAATGTACCTCGGATAATATTGGAGTGGTGATATCGGACTTCACTGTGAACCACATACAACCGACTGAATTTGATCTCTATTTATACATAATTTGTTTTCGTTGTTTCCCGTAAGGCTTATTCGGGTATAATCGGGTTATTCCGGTCCTGAAAGGTGTGTCTTCTGGTCACAAGGGCTGCTGATTCTGAGCGGGATTTCAACCGCAAGGGATAGTTGGGAGAGTCGTACATCGCTTTCGGCTAAACTCGGGTTAATCCAGTACCAGGTAATGGTAGTGGTAGTGGTAGCAGTGGTAGTGGTAGTGGTGGTAGTCGTGATGGTAATGTCACTTGTGGTAGTGGCAGTGGTGGTGGTAGTGACAGTGGCAGTGGTGTTAGTGGTAGTGGCAGTGGCAGTGGTGGTAGTAGCAGTGGTAGTGGTAGTGGTAATGACACTGGCAGTGGTTTGAGTGGCAGTGGGAGTGACAGTGGGAGTGGTAGTGCAGTTGTAGTGACAGTGGGAGTGACAGTGGGAGTGGTAGTGCAGTTGTAGTGACAGTGGGAGTGGTTGTAGTGACAATGATAGTGGTGGTAGTGACAGTGGGAGTGGTTGTAGTGACAGTGACAGTTGTGGTAGTGACAGTGGGAGTGGTTGTAGTGACAGTGGTGGTAGTGACAGTGGGAGTGGCTGTGGTAGTAGTGACAGTGGGAGTGCCTGTAGTGACAGTGGTAGTGACAGTGACAGTGGTGGTAGTGACAGTGGGAGTGGCTGTGGTAGTAGTGACAGTGGCAGTGGTAGAAGTGACAGTGGGAGTGGCTGTAGTGACAGTGGGAGTGGTTGTAGTGACAGTGGCAGTGGTAGTGATGACAGTGGGAGTGGTTGTAGTGACAGTTGGAGTGGCTGTAGTGACAGTGGTAGTGGCTGTGGTGGTAGTGACAGTGACATTGGTGGTAGTGACAGTGGTAGTGGCTGTGGTGGAATTTGCAGTGGTGACAGCGGTAGTAGTGACAGTGGGAGTGGCTGTGGTGGTAGTGACAGTGACAGTGGTGGTAGTGACAGTGGTAGCGGCTGTGGTGGTAGTGACAGTGGCAGTGGTGACAGTGGTAGTAGTGACAGTGGGACTGGCTGTAGTGACAGTTGCAGTGGTGGTAGTGACTGTGGCAGTGGTAGTGGTGACAGTGGGAGTGGTTGTAGTGACAGTGGCAGTGGTAGTAGTGACAGTGGGAGTGGTTGTAGTGACAGTGGCAGTGGTAGTAGTGACAGTGGCAGTGGTAGTGGTGACAGTGGGGGGACAGTGGGGGTGGTAGTGGTGACAGTGGGAGTGGCTGTAGTGACAGTGGCAGTGGTGGTAGTGATAGTGGCAGTGGTAATGGTGACAGTTGGAGTGGTTGTAGTGACAGTGGTAGTGGCAGTGCGGGTGGTAGTTGTGACAGTGGGAGTGGCTGTAGTGACAGTGGCAGTGGTGGTAGTGACAGTGGGGGTGGTATCGGTGACAGTGGGAGTGGCTGAAGTGACAGTGGCAGTGGTGGTAGTGATAGTGGCAGTGGTAATGGTGACAGTTGGAGTAGTTGTAGTGACAGTGGTAGTGGCAGTGGAAGTAGTGACAGTGGGAGTGGTTGTAGTGACAGTGGTAGTGGCTGTGGTGGTAGCGGTGGTGGTAGTGGTGACAGTGGGAGTGGTTGTAGCGACAGTGGTAGTGGCAGTGGTAGTAGTGACAGTGGGAGTGGTTGTAGTGACAGTGGCAGTGGTAGTAGTGACAGTGGGAGTGGTTGTAGTGACAACGATAGTGGCAGTGGTAGTGGTGACAGTGGGAGTGGTTGTAGTGACAGTGGGGGTGGTTGTACAGACAGTGGGAGTGGTTGTAGTGACAGTGGGAGTGGCTGTAGTGACAGTGGGAGTGTTTTTTGTGACAGTGGGAGTGGTTGTAGTGACAGTGGGAGTGGCTGTGGTGACAGTGGGAGTGGTTGTAGTGACAGTGGGGGTGGTTGTAGCGACAGTGGCAGTGGTAGTGGTGACAGTGGGAGTGGTGGTAGTGACAGTGGGAGTGGCTGTAGTGACAGTGGTAGTGGTGGTAGTGACAGTGGTAGTGGCAGTGGTAGTGGTCACAGTGGCTGTGGTGGTAGTGACAGTGGCAGTGGTAGTAGTGACAGTGGGAGTGGCTGTAGTGACAGTGGGGGTGGTTGTAGTGACAGTGGGAGTGGTAGTGGTAGTGGTGACAGTGGGAGCGGCTGTAGTGACAGTAATAGTGGTAGTAGTGACACTGGGAGTGGTAGTGGTGACAGTGGGAGAGGTGGTAGTGGCTGTGGTGGTAGTGGCGGTGGTAGTGGAGACAGTGGGAGTGGTTGTAGTGACAGTGGTAGTGGCAGTGGTAGTAGTGACAGTGGGAGTGGTTGTAGTGACAGTGGTAGTGGCTGTGGTGGTAGTGACAGTGGCAGTGGTAGCAGTGACAGTGGGAGTGGTTGTAGTGACAGTGGGAGTGGCTGTAGTGACAGTGGGAGTGGTAGTAGTGACAGTGACAGTGGTAGTAGTGACAGTGGGAGTGGCTGTAGTGACAGTGGGAGTGGTTGTAGTGACAGTGGGAGCGGTAGTGGTGACAGTGGGAGAGGTGGTAGTGGCTGTGGTGGTAGTGGCGGTGGTAGTGGAGACAGTGGGAGTGGTTGTAGTGACAGTGGTAGTGGCAGTGGTAGTAGTGACAGTGGGAGTGGTTGTAGTGACAGTGGTAGTGGCTGTGGTGGTAGTGACAGTGGCAGTGGTAGCAGTGACAGTGGGAGTGGTTGTAGTGACAGTGGGAGTGGCTGTAGTGACAGTGGGAGTGGTAGTAGTGACAGTGACAGTGGTAGTAGTGACAGTGGGAGTGGCTGTAGTGACAGTGGGAGTGGTTGTAGTGACAGTGGGAGCGGTAGTGGTGACAGTAGGAGTGGCTGTAGTGACAGTGAGAGTGGCTGTAGTGACAGTGGGGGTGGTTGTACTGACAGTGGTAGTGGCTGTAGTGACAGTGGGAGTGGTTGTAGTGACAGACGGGGTGGTTGTAGTGACAGTGGTAGTGGCTGTGGTTGTAGTGACAATGGCAGTGGTAGCAGTGACAGTGGGAGTGGTTGTAGTGACAGTGGGAGTGGCTGTAGTGACAGTGGGAGTGGTAGTAGTTACAGTGACAGTGGTAGTAGTGACAGTGGGAGCGGCTGTAGTGACAGTGGGAGTGGTTGTAGTGACAATGGGAGCGGTAGTGATGACAGTAGGAGTGGCTGTAGTGACAGTGGGAGTGGCTGTAGTGACAGTAGGGGTGGTTGTACTGACAGTGGTAGTGGCTGTAGTGACAGTGGCAGTGGTTGTAGTGACAGACGGGGTGGCTGTAGTGACAGTGGGAGTGGCTGTAGTGACAGTGGGAGTGGTTGTAGTGACAGTGGGGGTGGTTGTACAGACAGTGGGAGTGGTTGTAGTGACAGTGGGAGTGGCTGTAGTGACAGTGGGAGTGTTTTTTGTGACAGTGGGAGTGGTTGTAGTGACAGTGGGAGTGACTGTGGTGACAGTGGGAGTGGTTGTAGTGACAGTGGGGGTGGTTGTAGCGACAGCGGCAGTGGTAGTGGTGACAGTGGGAGTGGTTGTAGTGACAGTGGGAGTGGCTGTAGTGACAGTGGTAGTGGTGGTAGTGACAGTGGTAGTGGCAGTGGTAGTGGTCACAGTGGCTGTGGTGGTAGTGACAGTGGCAGTGGTAGTATTGACAGTGGGAGTGGCTGTAGTGACAGTGGGGGTGGTTGTAGTGACAGTGGGAGTGGTAGTGGTAGTGGTGACAGTGGGAGCGGCTGTAGTGACAGTAGTAGTGGTAGGAATGACAGTGGGAGTGGTAGTGGTGACAGTGGGAGAGGTGGTAGTGGCTGTGGTGGTAGTGGCGGTGGTAGTGGAGACAGTGGGAGTGGTTGTAGTGACAGTGGTAGTGGCAGTGGTAGTAGTGACAGTGGGAGTGGTTGTAGTGACAGTGGTAGTGGCTGTGGTGGTAGTGACAGTGGCAGTGGTAGCAAGTGACAGTGGGAGTGGTTGTAGTGACAGTGGGAGTGGCTGTAGTGACAGTGGGAGTGGTAGTAGTGACAGTGACAGTGGTAGTAGTGACAGTGGGAGTGGCTGTAGTGACAGTGGGAGTGGTTGTAGTGACAGTGGGAGCGGTAGTGGTGACTGTAGGAGTGGCTGTAGTGGCAGTAGGAGTGGCGCTAGTGACAGTGGGGGTGGTTGTACTGACAGTGGTAGTGGCTGTAGTGACAGTGGGAGTGGTTGTAGTGACAGACGGGGTGGCTGTAGTGACAGTGGGAGTCGCTGTAGTGACAGTGGGAGTGGTTGTAGTGACAGTGGGGGTGGTTGTACAGACAGTGGGAGTGGTTGTAGTGACAGTGGGAGTGGCTGTAGTGACAGTGGGAGTGGTTGTAGTGACAGTCGGAGTGGTTGTAGTGACAGTGGGAGCGGTAGTGGTGACAGTGGGAGTGGCTGTAGTGACAGTGGGAGTGGCTGTAGTGACAGTGGGGATGGTTGTAGTGACAGTGGGAGTGGTTGTAGTGACAGTGGTAGTGGCTGTGGTGACAGTGGGAGTGGTTGTAGTGACAGTGGCTGTGGTTGTACTGACAGTGGTAGTGGCTGTAGTGACAGTGGGAGTGGTTGTAGTGACAGATGGGGTTGCTGTAGGGACAGTGCGGGTGGTAGTGGTGACAGTGGGGGGTGGCTGTAGTGACAGTGGGGGTGGTTGTAGTGACAGTGGGGGTGACAGTAGGGGTGGTTGTAGTGACAGTGGGAGTGGCTGTAGTGACAGTGGAAGTGGCAGTGGTACCAGTGACAGTGATAGTGGTAGTATTGACAGTGGAAGTGGCTCTACCAGACCACGGAGGCGGTCTAAACAATCTGAAGACCATTGGTGAGAGTGTGATTGTAATATCTCCATATTATCTCGATATGGAGTAGAATTCGTCCGTCTGAAAAACTCCCTGTTGACGTTTGTAGCAGAGAGTCTGATTGTCCTAGTCCAGACATCTCCCCGAGGCAAGGGAGTTAACTGAGTATGAAAGTCTTTCCACCCTTTCCGAACTAGGCTGGAATTTCTGGGCTCAATCGTAGCACCGCCAGTGGCTATTACGAGTTATGTCCCGTCTATGACTCTCTTATTGACCAATCAGATTCCACCTCAAATGTCACTTACTCCAAATAAAATGGCGGCGCCCAGTCAAGACGATCTCATCGATAATCAAGATCTATATTGTGATAAAACGGGTCTTACATCGCGAAGTGCATCAAATCAGGTGAGCACCTTGATTAAAAACATGAAAAGATGTAGAAAATATCAGCTGACGCCGGGTTGGCGTTACACATGCTTTGCAAATCCTGCAAGCGACCGAAATCTGCAAGACAGTTTACGAACCGGATGTCGATTTCGTTAGGCGTTTTGATTGGACTATGCATAGACCCGCTTTAACCTTTAGCCTGTTGAATTGTTTTCACACTTCTTAGCCCTGCCTGCTGGATTAATTTTAGCATAAGGCGCTGTAAAGTGGGTGGGTGAGTGAGTATTGTCTTACGCCGCTTTTAGCAATATTCCAGCAACATCACGGCGGGGGACACCAGAAATGGGCTTCACACATTTTACCCATGTCGGGAATCGAACCCGGGTCCTCGGTGTGAAGAGCGAATGCTTTAACCACTGGGCTACCTCACCGCCCAACACCAGAAAAAACGATATTTAACATGTCTTTCATGTGTTCATGTGATGTGTTCCAAACAGAAAACAAAAATGTGCACGATATATGTACAAAATAGTTTTATTAGAATACGCATAAATACGTCATAATACATAATATAGTTCTGTTTTCTTGTGTGACGTCATCTTTATCACACAGTGACATCAGTTGGTATGTTTATTCAATGGCGGCCTTAGTGACATGCGTAAGTAAGCCAGTTAAACATCGATTCTGTGTTTTAAACGCCACAGGTCGAACAGGTGCACGTGGTATTTATTTCTATTTGGTCAGTATAGAAGCAAATATTTCAAACTTGATAAGGAATGCGAAATTAGCTTGCATATGGACTTAGACATGTAAATAAGGTGGAAATAGGAGTATTTAGCTGCGTTGGTCACATGACACCACGAGATACATTTGGCAACTAAAACTCAGTAGTGAGCAGTAATAATTCTGTTATTCCGTGTCGTTGAATATCAAAAGTACATGACCAGCTGTCTTCACGCCAGCGACACATAACAGCGGAACCACGAGCTGTTTGGTACTGACAAATGAAGGACCAGAATCAGGGTGAAAACGAGTTTGAGATGATTACATCCTGGCACAACAAAGGGACGCAACTCTGCGTCTAACACTGCTGCGCTCGAGAAATCATAAATATGTAAAACACCACCTCCAGCAATCTGTTAAGGTAAGGCGTAACAGACGTATGGTCCAGGATATGCGATTTTGGGTTTAGAATTGAAGTTTGTCACAACAAAATAAACTATTTACAACCCGAGTCTGAGATGATTGTATCCTGACACAAGAAAAGGGACGCAACTCTTCGTCTGACACTGCTTGGCTCGAGAAATCATAAATATGTCATCACACTTGGGTCTTGCCCCAAATACGAAAACTGGAGTATTGAAATTGTTTCCATCCTAGCTGCCTGTTCAAGTTTCCGACGCTGATGTCGATGAATCTCGCCCTGCTGTCACGCTCAAGGGCAGATAACGTCCCGCTAATTATACGTTGCCTCATTGCAGACCACTAAGCATGGCTTTTGTTTCCGTAGCTGTCATAGTTGAACTCACTTTGTCCATCTGCGAGCAGTTCGGAGTTCAAGAAGGGTCCGTATGAGACAAAGGGGCGGGGGATTTTCATGGTGTCAGTCGATGTGGTGGAGTTGGATCTTGACCGGTGACGACGGCGACGCCTGAATAATAATAATAGTAATAATAATAAAAATCATAATCATAATCATAATAAAAACAAGATCCTGTGTCTATTTTTTAATAATATATTTTGCGAATATAATTTTCAGCGTTTAATCAACTGAAGCGTTCATAAAATCAATATTTTCCTCGCTATATTTTATAATGTTCCTGCAGATCATTGGCGCTTCACGTAGATGGATGTTTCTGGCACTTAATAAAGCAAACATCGGATTATCTAAATAAATCTGTCAAGACTAGATCTTCATTTTTAAATGTAAGACATGTGTTAACGTATTTCTGAAAAAATACATGATTGATTGTATTGTTTGTTTCTTTGTTTCTTTGTTATTCAACGCCGCACCCAGCAATATTTGAGCTGTTTGACGGCGGTCTATGAATAATCAAGTATGGACCAGAAAATACAGTGACTGACATCATAAGCATCGATCCACGCAATTGGGATACGATGGCATGCATCCACCAAGTCAGCGAATCTGACCATCCGATCCCGTCACCTCTTACGACAAACACGGGTTGCTGAAGACACATTCTAACCCAGAACGTTACGGGTCTGATATGACTTAATGAACTGAGCATACCTCCTGCAGAGGATAAAGATAAGCGCCACGAAGAACAGAAGGACCAGGATGCCGGCTATTGATGAGGCTGCAGTGATACCGGCTGAAACACAGAACAACTCTTGACCACAAAAACACGTCACTGTCGTGGTCACTGTCTGGTCACTGTTTGTTTGTTTGTTTGTTTGTTTGTTGTTTAACGCCGCACTCAGCTACATTCCAGCTACATGACGACAGTCTGTAAATAATCGAGTCTGGACCAGACAATCCAATGAATGACATCATGAGCATCGATCCACGCCATTGGGATACGGTGACATGCATCAACCAAATCAGCGAGCCTGACCACCCAATCCCGGTAGTCGCCTCTTACGACAAGCATAGTCGCAAACATAGAAGACCTATTCTACCCCGGATCTTCATGAGTCTCTTGGTCACTGTCTTAGTTATATTTTCATACTTGCTAACGTAACCTCGTACAAAGACGAGACTGCATATAACGGTAGATGTGGTTCGAGGCGTGCTAAGCATCACAATAAATATATGTATTAATTTTAAAATGTTAATGCTCAGGTGACGATGGTAATCAAACGGTACATTGTAATTACGTTACGATTTAAATCACTCTCGATATGTTACGTGTGTACATTTTCACACACTCTACCGATTGATAAAAAAACGTCGTTTCGTCACATGGTGCCCTCTCGAACTCTATTCATTTTGAACCGTGTGAATAAATCAACATGGAGACAACGTCACTAGTATCAAGAGTAACGTCCCTTTGATAAGAGGCCGATTTGATGAATGGCCACACACTTTCTAAATATGCTGAACCTTTATATTCGAACAATGTTTTATAATGTTATACAACGTTATACATGTGTACCAATTATAAATGTTTGATAATACTATTATCACACGACGACGACGACTACCAATACTATTTTGTTTGTTTGTTTGTTGTTTAAAGCCGCACTCAGCAATATCTCAGCTATATGATTGCGGTGTGTAAATAATCGAGCTTGGTCCAGACAGTCCAGTGAATGACAACATGAGCATCGATCCACGCAACTGGGATACGATGACATGCATCAACCAAGTCAGCAGCCCTGACCACCCGATCCCGTTAGTCGCCTCTTACGACTGGCATGGTCACCTCTTACGGCAAGCATGGGTTGCTGAAGACCTATTCTACCCCGGATCTTCACGGGTAGACTACCCATACTAACTGCCAGCTCATAAAATGCATCGGTATTAAAATGGTGATATCGCAGATATAAGATTGTACTTACTTGTCAGCGCCTTATTGGCATCGGATTTTCCCGCCTCGGGGTCTAAAAATATACAACAGTCACACACTACATAATTCTGACTACAGTACTGACAAACCAGGAATATAGGACGAGTTTCATATTCACGTTAGCGGATCCTGTCAAGGCAAAGGGACGCAACTCAGTTATATCCACTTTTTAATCGAGGCTTTTTACGAAAGCCACACAATATCAGTATCCTTGAGTCGAAATGTAATATAAGAAATACATTTATACATTTGTTTAATATATAGAATCGAATTTTGTTTGGTTTGCAATTTTTTTAGTTTGCTAATAAATCGAAAACATCATTTCTTGTCGGCGGATCAATAAATCAATGAGTTAAGACGGGCATAAATTAGGAGATATCCACATTGTGTTTTGAATGTAGAGCTAGGATACCTGCAGATTTATTGTTTCTACAAATAATGAATTCAGTAAAGATTCGGCCGTCAAATCATTCAGAGGTGGTTATTGTGATTTGAAACCTGTGATTGATAAATCAGAAAAAGAATACAATAGATTCTGTCTAAACAGGGTTCATAGTAAACCGGATAAGAGGGTTAGTATGATTTAGACAGAAGCCCGGCAAGACAGAAATTCGATTTGAGCTAAGAGTTATATATCCCTCAGTATCTTATGAGAACCCTGTGTACATGTAAATTTATTTGCTTTGCTTTGGAGAACGGTCTTTCCTAAAGTATATACAACATATAACATATACAGTCGAACATCATTATCTCGAACACCTTTAACGCGAATGTACTGATATATCGAATCTATTCCGGTCCCGACCGCCTCATTATATCTCTGCCATGTCTCGTTATCTCGAATGTCCGGACAACTCGAAGTTTTAATCCAAGCTACATCGACAAAGTCCGATTGCCTAATCTAGTCTAAATCAAGCAATTAGTACGGCAACAGCAGACATTGCTATGCTCACCAGATAATAGTGCATGTTTACGTTCAAAACATCGCTTAACAACACAGAAAGCGTCGCAGTCATCAACCGGTCTCATATGACATTTTCCTGATACTCGTTTTAAGGACGTGAGAGATCACATGAGAAGCAGGCGAAGTATGATTGTTGAAAACGTATGTGCTATTGTTGAAATACAATTAATTTTTAATGTGATATTCTTTGCAATGTTCCGAAGCTGGTAGTTTTGTAAATGATGCTTAGAATCAAAGTTAAGCTTCAACTTCGAAATAAAGTCTACTGCCTCTGATCCGATGTCATTCCAGATTGTAAACACATTGTTTGTTGATGAGAACAGCTTACTGGGCGTGTTTGTGTTTGTTTAATGCCGTACTCTGCAATATTCCAGCCAGATTCGAGTCTGGACCAGACAATCCAGTGATTGACATCGTGAGCATCGATCCACGAAATTGGGATACGATGACATGCAACAACCAAGTCAGCGAGCCTGACCACCCGATCCCGTTGTTCGCCTCAGGGACAAGCGTAGTTTGATGGAAATTAATTCTAACCCGAATTTGCACGTATTTCTGATATGTATGAACTCGAATCAGAAAACTTCAACTAATTAAATATTGGGCCACTTTCATACTTTCTTGTCCGGAATTGAATTCCGGAACTTAACTCCGGATTCCGGAGTGAAGAAAGTCCGGATTTTGCAGACTTGATGATAAATGAACATAGAAATTTCGGAGCCGTAAACTTGGTGTCGACAGAGATCCGGATTAGTTAGTGTCCGAATTAGACATATTCGACTGTATTGTCCATATGTATATATTATTAAAAATTTAACTGACCGATGCATGCTTTGTCCGAGGTGGACCCTTTGGTACTTGTGGTCAGTCTTGAAGAACAGTTGAGACAAACATCAGCCCCCGTGTCCGGCTGGTACTGACCATACTCGCAGTCCACACACGTGTCCCGTGCACTTCGGTACTGGCCAGCACTGCACACGACTGTGGAGTAGAACAGCAACAATAACACTGAGCTGGGTTACGCTTTGGCTTTTTTTGTTTATTGTTTGTTGGTTGTTTAACGCCGCACTCAGCAACATTCCAGCTATGTACGGCAACCTGTAAATATGTGACTATGTGGTCGAGTGGTAGAGCGTCCGCCCGGAGAGCGAAAGGTCCGGGGTTCGATCCCCGGCCGCGTCATACCAGGAGACTTAAACTGCGACATGATATCACAGTGAGCTAGCACTATATATCGGCACTAGCCAAAGCAGTCACACACACACACACACACACACACACACACACACACACACACACACACATGCAAATCGCTATATAAGTGCAATAATCTTGGACGCGACGTTAAACCCAATTTCACCTCACCTGTAAATATATGTCTGGACCAGACAATCTTGTGATTGATAGTGTGAAGATCCACCCAAAGTGATGCAGATCTCGCGACCAGGTCTCAGACGTTTACCAATTTGGTGAATCCCACAAGCACGAGTATTATACTAGCAAACCTAGAAACATAATCGTGAAGAAACCGGGATTCGAACCCACAATCATAGGTTTCCAGAGTACCCAAGGGACGCAACTCTGCACAGCGAAATGCGGCACCCCGGACGGGATGTGAGAAGGACCCTTGGAAATAAATTGTAAGGTTAATAACGATGCTCTTACTGAGACAGTCCTTCGTTTGTGCTGCCCCCGTAACCGATGTTGTATAGCCTTCGTCGCAGCTGAGGCAGGATGTCGCCCCGGAGGCTGGCTGGTAGGACCCGACAGAGCAGTTGCTGCAAGTCTCAGCCCCCTCCCTCGGCTGGTAGGTCCCTGCGCCACACTCCTCACACACGTTAGCCGCAGTGCGAAACTTGCCGGCAGCACAGACAACTGGAACATGTCCCAAACATACGTCTGAACTTGCACTACTAATTAGTCTGGAAGGTAATTTAAGGTACCGACGTTTACTACAATATCTGAAAAAACTATTGGACCTACTCCAGTCAAAGTTGGTATGAGATTATTAAACAGTCATACATAACTGGATATTACATTTTAAGACAATCGGTGCATGAATAAAAAATCGGTCTATTTAGCTATCACTTTATTTCAACAACCAGACCTATTCGTCACGGGTTGAACGAGCATTCATTGAAACAGCCATCTGCATAATGCTACCCCTGCGTCACAGGGCGGCCATATGACACAGTTGAACCAATCAACTCAACTCGGAAGGGTGCACGGGAATCACGCACGCACGAATACGGTGTTAGCGTTGGGCGTCTCAACGTCTCAATATCCAGTTATGTATGACTGTTTAATAATCTCATACCCAGTTTGACTGGAGTAGGTCCGATAGTTTTTCAGATATTGTAGTAAACGTCGGTACCTTAAATTAACTCCCAGACTAACTGCGGATACAGTAAACCCTATCCATAGTTATCAGAAATACGAGTTAAAAGCAGATTCCGACTATATCACAAGCGTTAATCACTATCACTACCACTTTCCATAATTACCACCACCTAGATCTGTCGGTGATCCTTTCAACCCTCACACCAACCACCTCGCCGTCCAATACCCCAAATATGACACTGATAGTAATGCCCTTACCCTTACCATCCACAGGCTACAATATGTCCTAAGTGATGATTAGGAAGAGTGTAATGCCCTCCCCATCCCCATCATAGCCTTTCCCCTTCTTGATCCGCCTGTGGACCTGTCAAACCCTACACCAACCACCTCGCCATCCAATATTCCAAGTACAACCAACTAATAATAATGCCCTTACCAAGACAGTCAGATGCCGCTGTGGTCCTGGTATATTGTGTGGTGTAGCCTGTGTCACAAGCAATACATTCAGCAGATCCTGTACTGGACTGGTAGGTGGCAATAGGGCAGGCCAAGCACTGGGTTGACCCCGTCTCGTTCTGGTACGTTCCTTCCTGGCACTGTTCACACACCGTAGACGATGTTCGGAACTGTCCCGCAGCACACACGACTGTCGACAAAAGCATCTTGACATTGATGGAATATCGTGACAGATTTGGATTTAGTTTTGTAACATAACTGTTTGTCGTCATACACAACCTTTAATCCACGTGTCCAATATAGAAGCAGTACTTAACAATGATGAAATGATTTACCTTGTAAAAAGACAAAAGAAATGTGTTACTCGCTAAGACAATCTGTATCAGTAGTTGAAGACAATATAGGGACAAACTCCTAGGCTCACTGGTCCAATAATTGTAGCTTATAATGCATAGACTTTTGATCCACCGACTCATTCTCTGAACAAGCTACTCTTATGTCCCTTATCAATAATGCTGATGTTGGTGATGTTTTATTTATGGACGACTTAAGGCAGATTATATACAACTGAGTTAGTGAGTTTGGTTTTACGTCGCATTTAGCAATATCACGGCGGGGGACACCAGAAATGGGCTTCACACATTGTAGCCATGTCGGGAATCGAACCCGGTTCTTCGGCGTGACGAGTGTACACTTTAACCACTAGGCTACCCTACCGCCCCTCTATACACAAATGAAGACATGCCCTTGTGATGCAGTGGATATTAAGTATTGTATCAGTTAAACCATTGAAAAAACTGTTACCAAGTAGATGTTACCAAGCATCTATGTACAATTGCTCGATCATCGACATAAATTAAATGCGTCACTCACTCAGACAATCTGTAGCTGCCGTCTTGCCCGTGGAGGTTGTGTTGTATCCTGACTGACAGTCAACACAACCAGATGCGCCAGGAGTGTCTTGGTAGGACCCAAGTGGGCACACCTCACATCCAGTGCCACCTGGCAGCTCCTGGTACGTCCCTGCTGGACACTCAAGGCACGTGGCTGCTGCTGTAGAGTTTTGGTATTGTCCGGCAAGGCAGTCTGTACATCCGGTGGCTCCTGGGGAGTCCTGGTATGTGCCAGACGGGCATACCTTACACTCCACAGCTCCCGTAACGTCTTGGTACTGTCCCGCCGAACACAGACTGCATTCACTTGCTCCTTGGTCAGGCTGGTAGCGTCCGGCAGGACACGACTCACATGTGTTGGCAGCATTGCGGAACTCTCCAGCAGGACACACCACTGCAGCAAGGAGGAGCAAAATACAATGACAATCCAGGACCTGGTTCCACAAGCGACTTAAGCGCCACGACTGCCGTAATTCGATGTTGAAGTACAGGACTTACAGCAATTCCTGTGTTATTTGCTCAAGACATCAATCACATGCTTGTCTAGTACAGATTAAATTATTTAGAGACCGCCGTCATTTCGCTAGAATATTGCTGAGTGTGGCGTTAAAAATCTAACAAAGAGGACACACTCACCAGTATAAACCAATCAACATGTTCACTCACTCACTCTCGTTCAGAACGCTCTCGTTTAGAAATCACACATAGTTAGAGTGAAAATATGCATGATCCTAATCTTAGAAGTCACTCCTGAAAGGGATTACAACTGTTCCATTCACAGGCTACAATATGTCCTGATGTCCTGTCCAATAAGTGATGATTAGGAAGAGTGTCATGCCCTCCCCATCCCCATCATAGCCTTTCCCCTTCTTGATCCGCCTGTGGACCTGTCAAACCCTACACCAAGCACCTCGCCATCCAATATTCCAAGTACAACCAACTAATAATAATGCCCTTACCAAGACAGTCAGATGCCGCTGTGGTCCTGGTGTTTTGTGTGGTGTAGCCTGTGTCACAAGCAATACATTCAGCAGATCCCGTACTGGACTGGTAGGTGGCAATAGGGCAGGCGAAGCACTGGGTTGACCCCGTCTCGTTCTGGTACGTTCCTTTCTGGCACTGTTCACACACCGTAGATGATGTTCGGAACTGTCCTACGTCACACACGACTGTTGACGAAAGAGGCAAGAGAATTAACAACAGGATAGATTTCAAAAGTTCCATAAGAAATGACCGCTTTGACAACCTTTAATTTCGCGAGTGGAATCGTAAAACGGGAAAGGAAGACACAGAACACACCACAGCTCCACAGACGTGACGCATGTCTAAACAAATAGACCTTATACACAAAGAAATCTCAGCTCTACACACCACAGCCCCATGACAAACAAGACCAAAGACAAAACAAATAGACCTTATGCACAAAGACATCTCAGCTCTACACACCACAGCCCCATGACAAACGAGACCAAAGACAAAACAAATAGACCTTATACACAAAGAAATCTCAGCTCTACACACCACAGCCCCATAACAAACGAGACCAAGGACAAAACAAATAGACCTTATGAACAAAGAAATCTCATAACTTCTTTGATAGGCATATAGATCTTAGAGTACTAAATGAGGATAAGAATTTATTGATGAACAACGTCCCAATTACAATTAAGAGCGACGTTTAGGTGAAGGTTCTAATACCGTCATTACTTGCTTGATAACGGTTTTTGAACCTACACCGAAACGTCGCTCTTTATTGTAATAAAGAAGTTGTTCATCCAAAAATTCTTATCCTTACAAAGAAATCTCAGTTCTACACTCCACAGCTCCGTAACCGACGAGGCGCATATCTAAACAAATAGACCTTATGCACAAAGGAAGCTCAGTTCTTCAACCAGTAGAACTTTGTGTTCAAGTACAGGAGGCACTGTATTCTAACTGTCATGGTTGTTCTGTTCATGTTGCCCCATATATGAATACCTGCTACAATAACAAGCAACTTTGTGAAGAACTTGAAGTACTGTCCGAAGGTAAAGTATCATCGTTTATACGTATATTATGAAGACTATACACATTGTTAGTGATAAAGAATTATATAACATATTATGTACATAATTTATGTGTGATAATAATTGCAACGACAAGGTTACAACCTCCGTGGCACAATGGTTCATTGATTGTAGCTTATAATGCACAGACGTTTGAGCCTCGGACTCATTATTTGAACGCTTGTGTCCCTGATGCTGATGTTGGTGATGTTTTTCGATGGACGTCTTAAGGCAGAATACATACAACTGAAGTGGATATAAAGTACTGTATTCAGTTAAGACTTTGAAGAGAATATGTTACCAAGTACAGCGTCTATGTACAATGGCTCGATCATCGACCTAAACGAAATGCGTCACTCACTCAGACAATCTGCAGCTGCCGTGTTGCCCGTGGAGGTTGTGTTGTATCCTGACTGACAGTCAATACAACCAGATGCGCCAGGAGTATCTTGGTAGGACCCAAGTGGGCACACCTCACATCCGGTGCCACCTGGCAGCTCCTGGTACGTCCCTGCTGGACACTCAAGGCACGTGGCTGCTGCTGAAGAGTTTTGGTATTGTCCGGCAAGGCACTCTGTACATCCGGTGGCTCCTGGGGAGTCCTGGTATGTGCCAGACGGGCATTCCCTACACTCCACAGCTCCCGTAACGTCTTGGTACTCTCCCGCCGAACACAGATTGCATCCAGTTGCTCCTTGGTCAGGCTGGTAGCGCCCGGCAGGACACGACTCACATGTGTTGGCAGCATTGCGGAACTCTCCAGCAGGACACACCACTGGAGACAGTAGGGAAAATGTTGGCATGCAATACGAAGAAAGGCACCCGCTTACTAAAGCGAGTTCAGAACTGCTATTGTCGTAACTACCACACCTTTACATTGAGGGCTGTTGTAAGTAAAAAGGACAAAAAAATGTTTCCATTATCATAAGAGTCAGTGAGATAGTTTGGTTTAACGCTGCTTTTTAACAGTAATCCAGTGATATCACGGCGTGTCGGCTTAAAGGGAGAGAAAAGCCCGAAATGGAACAGGTGTAGACGTTTACCATTTTGGTTAAACCCAGAACCACGGATATGGTGCTTACGAAATAATCAATGGTGAATTTGTAGAAGGAATCGTTTATGAAGCGTCTCCAAACATCTTTAATGTATATACAGAAAAACCTCTTTAATCCAAGCGGTAATATTCCTAGTGAAATCATTTGGATATTCGGCCCCGTGAAGATCAGGGGTAGAATACGTCATCAGCAACCTATGCCTGTCGTAAGCGGCGACTAACGGGATCGGGTGCTCAGGCTCGCTGACTTGCATTTGGTTTATGCATGTCATCGTATCCCAATTACGTGGATCGATGCTCATGATATCACTCACCGTCTTCATATAACTGCAATATTGCTGAGTGCGGGCGTTAAACAACAAACTATTAAACATTCGGATATTCCAATACTAGTATCTGGATTTTCCAATCTTTAGACGTCCAGAGCACGAGTGTCCGCAAAATGGTGGACCAACCGTATCAGTGGTTTCAGTGGTCGTACATACCTGTAACAGGTGGCTCTGTCGTTGTTATGATGCTTGATGGAGTAGGAGATGCTGTTGGAGACTGTGTTTGTGCGGTAGTTGGTATTATGGATGATGTTGATGTTTGTGTACTTGATGAAGATGGTGCGAGTGACGACGTTGAAAGAACTGAAACGGGTGATATAGATAGTACTGTCGAAGATGTCGGTATGGTAGCGGTTGAGGTAACTGAGGTAGGTGTTTGTACCGCTGTAGATGCTGCATATGTCGTTGTTTGGGAGATTGGAGATGTGAGCACAGAAGATGGAACAGACGTAATGGTTGTTGCTGTCGTTGATTCTAGTGAACTGGTTGAGATTGCTGAAGAAGGAACAGACGAGCTTGATGTTGCTGACGATGACCCCAGTGAACTGGTGGAAATTGATGAAGAAGGAACAGATGTGATGGGTGTCACTGTCGTTGACCCCAGTGAACTTGAGGATATTGATGAAGGAGGAACAGACGAGCTTAATGCTGCCGTTGACCCAAATGAACTGGTGGAGATCGATGAAAGAACAGACGAGCTCGTTGTTGCTGAGGTTGACCCCAGTGAACTAGTGAAAACTGTTGAAGAAGGAACCGGTGTGATGGATGTCACTGTCGTTGACCCCGGTGAACTTGAGGATATTGATGAAGAAGGAACAGACGAGCTTGATGTTGCTGGCGATGACCCCAGTGAACTGGTGGAGATTGATGAAGAAGGAACAGATGTGATGGATGTCACTGTCGTTGACCCCAGTGAACTTGAGGATATTGATGAAGAAGAAACAGACGAGCTTGATGCTGTCGTTGGCCCCAGTGAACTGGTGGAGCCTGATGAAGAAGGAACAGAAGTGACGGCTGTTGCTGTCGTTGACCCCAGTAAACTTGAGGATATTGATGAAGAAGAAACAGACGAGCTTGATGCTGTCGTTGACCCCAGTGAACTTGTGGAGCCTGATGAAGGAGGAACAGAAGTGGCGGCTGTTGCTGTCGTTGACCCCAGTGAACTTGAGGATATTGATGAAGAAGGAACAGACGAGCTTGATGTTGCTGTCGCTGACCCTAGTGAACTGGTTGAGATTGATGAAGAAGGAACAGATGTGACGGCTGTTGGTGTCGTTGACCCCGGTGCACTGATGGAGATTGATGAGGAAGAAATAGACGTTGTTAACCCCAGTGAAGACGAAGTAGTGATCTGTGGTGTCTCTGTCACACTTGACGCAGTAATGTCTATCGATGTAGATGATGTTGTGATAAGCTGTGTTGGTGACGTTGTTGCTATCGTCGTTGCTATCGTCGTTGCTATCGTCGTTGAAGTTGACGTCGTGGAGGACACAGGCTGAATCACAGGTGTCCCACTGCATTTATCTGTAAACATATATAATTCCATCTGAAAGAGGTTCTTGTAATCGAAACTTTTGGGGCATTCTTAAATAAGCATACATGTAAATATATGGATAGTTCTTTGTTAACTGTGATAACTTATGTGGGCATGATAATAAGATATGTATAAAAAAAATGTCTAAATTCATACAAATGCTGGCTCAAATTAGTTTTTGTTATGTTATGTTATGTTGTGGTATGTTAGGTTATGTCATGTTATGTAATGTAATGTTATATTCAGTTATGTTGTGTCGTGTTGTGTTTTGTTATGTTACATCATGTTCTTTTCTGTTGTTCTGTCAGGTTATGTTATTTTACGTTATGTTATTTGTTGAACGCACGTTCAATCAGCTGCATGTGCATATTAAAACAAATATCTAAATATTGTTTTTATGCTAACGTGCTACAGTCAGCCGCCTACTAACTACACAGACAGGTTTTGTTTGTTTGTTTGTTGTTTAACGCCGCACACAGCAATATTAAAGCTGTATGACGGCGGTCTGTATATAATCGTCTCTAGGCCAGACAATTCAGTGACTGACCCCATGAGCATCGATCCGCGCAATTGGAATACGATGACATGCACCAACCAAGTCAGTGAGCCTCTTACAACAAGCATGTTATGTTATGTCATGTCATGTTATGTTGTGGTATATTCAGTTGTGTCATGTTGTGTTTTGTTATGTTATATCATGTTCTGTTCTGTTGTTCTGTTATGTTATGTTATTTTATGTTATGTTGTTTGTTTGTTGTTTAACGCCGCATACAGCAATATTGCAGCTATATGACGGCGGTCTGTATATATTCGCGTCTGAACCAGACAATCCAGTTATTGACATGATGAGCATCGATCCACGCAATTGGGATATGATGACATGCATCAACCAAGTCATGTCATGTTACGCTACGTTACGCCATGCCATGCCATGCCATGCCATGCCAAGCCCTGCCATGCCATGTCATGTTATGATGAGAGTTGATCTGATTTAGAATAACTTGGTCTTTGTTTATTATTTAATTATATTTAATCTGATCTGGGTTTTCGTTTGGCTCGGGCCGGTTCGTGTTTTGAGGGGTGAAATCCCTTATATCACAAAGGAATACAATAAATAAGGAAAGCTTGGATAAAGGGTATATTCTAACTACTTGACAGAATAGAAATCTACATACCTAAGGAGACACTGTTGGGGATACATTCCAGAATGGCATCTGGTTCCGCCCAAAATTCTTCTGCAGTTCGCCTTCTGTATCCGGGAAGACACTCACAGACTGAAGTAGTGGGGGAGCACTGGGCAAGTACTGGACATTCACCCATCACGCAGGCCTCACCGAGCACTTTTATTCCACTCATAGTGCAGGTTCCTAGAGCTTCTCGGTTGAAGGGCGTCTTGCAGCTACAGACGCCGTTGTTACAGCTGGTAAGGAGGGTGTTCACACACACTGACATGGTGGAGGCGAGGTCACAGGAATCGGACACGTTAAGTCCTGAAACAGAAGAATTGAAAAAAATCGTGTCATGTCAAGGATAAATGTGCATTTCTTTAATAGCTGCGTGTAGCTATCTTTCCCCATCAAATAGCATTTCTTAAATGATGTGTTCTTTATTCATTGTGGAAACACTGTTAGAACTGCTCCTTCTGTTCAGCATGTATCTGTGTTTAATTAAGCTGATTTGTATGCATATTTCTCGCCACCTGAAATAGAATCAAGATATGTCCATTTCTCAGCAATGAACATCCTCATTGAGTTTAGATAACATGGTTGATGCGACTTTTTTATGAAGCAAAGTTTCCGTTTTCCGTTTGTATAATTCATTTTTATTCATTTTCTAAAACTACTCTAAAAGTGACGTCTGATTAGGTTAAATGTCAGCAAATAAAAGCAAACATTTTCTTCTGACTGATTTTCGTGTTTTGACCAACAGAAAAGAAACATTATTATTTATGTATACATTTGCACTGTTCAAATCAATCACATGCTTATGCAAGCATAAACATTTGCACTGTTCACAACAATCACATGCTTGTCCAAGTAACTGCATAAACATTTACATTGTTCACGACAATCATATGCTTGTCCAAGTCACTGCATACACATTTGCACCGTTCACAACAGTCATATGCTTGTGCAAGCATAAACATTTGCACTGTTGAAATCAATCACATACTTGTCCAAGTCACTGCATGAACATTTGCGCTGTTCACAACAATCACATGAGGTGAGTGGAGCACACATTACCTGTTAAACATGTTGACTTATCAGTCGATGCCACGTATCCAAGTTGACACAAACAAACAAGACCTCCACAGCGAAACGGTTTGCACCCAGCATTGCTTGGACACTCCCCATCACTTGTACACGTATCGTAGATATCTGGGGGTAGACAAGCTTACAAATGTAGTAAACAAGATGGTGACGTGTTGGAACAACGGTGGGGATTTGTGAATGGGTAATGAATGAACTGGAAAATACAATGCAAGAGTAAACATGCCGGGAGAAGAGTTGTATTTTAAACCCTTTTCAGCAGTGAAGACAACTGAAGGTGGAACAGGCTTGATGGTTTACCTGACTTTGACCCAAGGAATCTTAAGGAGATTGCTAAAGAAGGAATTGACGTTGTGGTTGTACCTGCCCTTGACCCTTGCGAAGATGGAGTAGCGGTTGGTGTGGCCAGTGTTGATGTTACCGTCATACTTAAATCCGATGATACTGAGGCAGTAGTCTCTATTGACGCAGATGACGGTGTGATGAGAATATGTGTTGATGACGTTGTTGCTATCGTCATTGAGGACGTTGAAGTTGACGGACTTTGCGTAGTGGAGGAAACAGGCTGAATTACAGGTGTTCCACTGCATTTATCTATAAACAGAAAAATAAAATATTGTTGGAGATTAGTTTAGTAGTGTTTGGTTTAGATTGGTTCTGTGTCTGGTCTAGTATGGGGGACTGGATTTGTGTCAGGTCGTTCTTGTGTCGTGTACAGCTGTTTGTTGGTTTTCAATTTGCACTACTGCATGCTGTATCCTCAAATCCACTGAATCACAAAGGCACAAAATAAGCCCTGATAGCGTGATGGCATATCAAGGTATCTATCTAACTGTCGGTTTGTGTTTTGAGGGGTGAAATCCCTCGTATCACAAATGAATACAAAAAATGAGGAAAGCTTGAATAAAAGGTATATTCTAACTACTTGACAGAATAAAAATCTACATACCTAAGGAGACACTGTTGGGGATACATTCCAGAATGGCATCTGGTTCCGCCCAAAATTCTTCTGCAGTTCGCCTTCTGTATCCGGGTAGACACTCACAGACTGAAGTAGTGTCGGAGCACTGGGCAAGTACTGAACATTCACCGTTCACGCAGGCCTCACCGAGCACTTTTATTCCACTCATAGTGCAGGTTCCTAGAGCTTCTCGGTTGAAGGGCGTCTTGCAGCTACAGACGCCGTTGTTACAGCTGGTGAGGAGAGTGTTGACGCACACTGACGTGGTGGAGGCGAGGTCACAGGAATCGGACACGTTAAGTCCTGAAACAGAAGGATTGAATAAGACTAAGATGTACATCGTCGAACTTAAGCTGTGACCTGATCTGATAAAATTATCTTGGGTCAATGAAAAGTCCACAAAAGGACTTCACATTCATATGAACATATGCTAGCTTTCATGAAGGCATCAAATGTTAAATGATTCACATCTTGACGGCCTAGAACAATCGCTGTACCATAATATATATTTGTACAAGTACAACCAAAACCGACAAAACACATTCCTTAATCACACGAAATCTTTGCAAAAGAATAGGTCCATTGTATGATTCCAACTGCTAGTATATCATGTGTGTTTATGAATCACCATCAAATAGTGATGGTAACAGGTGTTGGCGGAAAGGTAAAGTGTCCTGCACCACCAGGTGCTAGTGTCATTATGACTTTTGCCATAGGTTGTATGGTATGTAATGTGGACAGCATGTATGGCTATTTCGTGTTGACGGGGCACCACACCTGTGGCACAGTCACAAACACATGCAAAGGAAGGGTAATTGTTCACCTACAAAAAGACGGGAACATATGGTACAAGTCAAAATAGAAAATTGCCTTGTAAATCCTATTTATTCTATTGTATACATCATCAGGCTACATGCACCAGCCATGTCTTTTGCGTTAACATCAAACTATCAGAATTCAACCTTCGATGTATAAACATCAATTATCCACATAATAACCTCCCTACTGCACATTTCAGGACATCACTTTCTGGTATTTGCGATAGTACCTGCACCGAAACGTCACATTCATTTTAATAAAGAAGTTGTATATGCATAGAACTATCTCCCTCGTTTACCATTAAAAAAGGTTGACATTGCATGTTTTCTGTTGGGAGTTTTTGTCCCTCTGAATCTGTATGCAAAGACTTAAGTATGAAAAAGATGTGATGGTTTCACTAGTCCCTTTTATTTCTCACCCGTGTAGATCCGGGGTAGAATAGGTCTTTAGAAACCCATGCTTGCAGTGAAAGGCGACTATGCTTGCCGTAGGAGGCGACTAACGGGATCGGTTGGTCAGGCTCGCTGACTTGGTTGAAGCATGTCATCGATCCCAATTGCGTGGATCGATCCTCATGATGTCAATCACTGGATTGTCTGGTCCAGACTCGATTATTTACATACCCACGTCATATGGCTGGAATATTGCTGAATGTGGCGTTTAACGATAAACAAAACAAAACTTTTATTTCTAGCCCAGGTGGGTAAATCAATGGAAGGGAATTGGTTATTTGACCTCTATTGAACGATAATTGATATACCCAAAGTTTAAGTTAAACCTCTTTTCCAAATTTTCTTGTTTTGACTTTGAAATCCGAGCAGATATTCTGCATAATGAAACACATCATCGTGGAAGGGAGGAACATTGGTGTTTATGGGGATGCCTCCCTATTGCCTGAATGTCATGTAGACCCGTGAAGACCCGGGGTAGAATAGGTCTTCAGCAACCAATGCTCGTCGTAGAAGGCGACCATGTGTGTCGTAAGAGGCGACTAACGGGATCGGGTGGTCAGGCTCGCTGACTTGGTTGATGAATGTCATCGTATCCTAATGGCGTGGATCGATGCCCATGATATTTATCAGTGGATTGTCTGGTCCAGACTCGATTATTTACAGACCGCCGTCATATAGCTGGAATATTGGTGAGTGCGGCGTTAAACAACAAACGAGCAAACAAGAATGTCATATTCCCAAATCGCACATAAATGTTATCTGTGAGGTCCAACATTTCACAATACACTTCAGGTGACATTTGCTTTCAAATTGACAAAATGTCCTGAATTTTTTATAGAACCATGAGCTACAAAACAGTACAGAAAATAAATAAAGTACATGTTTGATGATGGCTAAACATGACACAAACAATAAATGGTTATTCGATGGTGATGTATTTGATACGGATGTCGTAGTATTAACAGTATATCGGCGACTGGCCATTCATTGATAACTCCAGTGTTCAAGTGTATACTAACTCTTGACCGGCAGTATATTTTAGAGTGGACGGAATCAATTACATATTATATATTAAATATATTTCCTGAATGAAATTATTATTTAGTCTCCAGCCATAAGGAGGGACCTAAAACGGTAAAGTCAAGGACATACATGCATAAATATATAAGTAATTCCGGGTGTCACGTAGGTTATTTTATTGCTACACAAATAAATAGTTGGTGATGATCTCTCAGCCTTCATCAACTGTCAGCGAGACAACCCTTTAGCCATTACAAGTAATCAAACGCACCTTCTCTTCGTTTCTACGAAGCCGATATGCAAATAGTCCTCCGCATAATTGTTGAGAGTGTTCTTCATATAAAAACAACAACAAATATAATCTATAACATGGAGTTAGAAGTTTGAAGGGCTTAATCGCTTTCCGATCTTCCTATTTTCAATATTCACTTTTAACATACTAAGTTTGCAACGTTAATGGTTAAAGTGAGTGGAGCACACATTACCTGTTAAACATGTTGACTTATCAGTCGATGCCACGTATCCGAGTTGACACAAACAAACAAGACCTCCACAGCGAAACGGTTTGCACCCAGCATTGCTTGGACACTCCCCATCACTTGTACACGTATCGTAGATATCTGGGGACAGACAAGCTTACAAATGTCGAGAGCGTCGAGCTAACATGCCGGAACATCTTTCCCATGTTTATATGATTGTGAATTTAATATATGTCATTTAACCTGTCGATCAGTAATTTGTATTGAACGCTGCTTGGACTATAGTCAGGTATATCACGTTCTACATGAGAGTGGATGTTTGTTTGTTTTTTTGTTTAACGCCGCACTCAGAGCAATATCCCAGCTATATGACGGCGGTCTGTAAATAATCGAGTCAGGACAAGACAATCCAGTGATTGACATCTTGAGCACCGATCCACGCAATTAGGATACGATGACATAGATCAACCAAGTCAGCGAGCGTGACCACCCCGATCCCGTTAATCGCTTCTTACAAGCACAGTCGCCTTTAAGGACAAGCATGGTTTGCTGAAAACCTATTCTACCCCGGATCTGCACGGGTCCATTAATGGGTTGGGTGGGATTGAAATTTTTCATAGCTTGCTTTCTAATCCAACCTGTTTATAATGAATAAGTAACATGTTTTAAGAATTCGTGCATTTTAGTAATGGCAAGGGAGGAAAATCTAGTGATTCAAATCGAAAATGTTAATAACTAGATTGGTGAAATCCACGATCATTGGTAAGGTTGTAATGTTAGATTCAAACCCACAATCAGCGGATCCTGACACGGGTGAGAGACCCAACATAGTCGTACTCTACAATATATTACTCACTGGTGCTCGTCACGTGGAGACATCCTGTAGCGAACAGTAACACCACAAATTCAACCTTCATCTGAAATTAACAAGACAAAGACGTGATGACAATACGTAAAATACCACGAGACGTGTAAATAAAGTACGAAAGAAATAATATAAAGTAGTAACGAAATAATCCAAGTCGATATCCAGCTTTCTCAGAGGACACACGAAGGTCCGTGACGTTAACATTACACATGTTCACGCCCAGTTGAACAGGTCCACCAGCTCCTTCATAATAAGCAAATTCACACCAAAGAAGATGTCATAGTCGTTGTTCACTAACTTGGCTTTATAAAGCAACAATAATAAGGTACATGTTGATTCTATCCATCCGTAATCAGACAAATCTTGTGCAAAGACCTCGTCTCTAATCCGTCCTTTTAAGACACACACCTGGTTCTTTCTGAAGGAGCAAGTGAACGGACATGCATTGGCCACAGATCAATACGAACAACTGCTGGATCAACACGCTGCCCCCATTACTCATGACCTGTGCTTTTAATATTCACAGCTTTCACGACTATCCTGAATGCCCTCGTCTTTGTTGACCGTCCGCTTAACGAACGAACACCATGATCTACCAGGACGTCAAGTCGAACACACACGCCTCAACAAACACTCATCTCAGAATGAACACGTCATTGTATCCATGAGTTGGTTGGTTGGTTTGTCGTTTAACGCCGCACTCAGCAATATTCCAGCTATATGACGGCGGTCTGTAAATAATCGAGTCTGGACAAGACAATCAAGTGATTGATATGAGCATCGATCCACGCAATTGGGATCGATGCAATGCATCAACCAAGTCAACGAGCCTGATCACCCGATCCCGTTTGTCGCCTTTTACGACAAGCATAGTCACCATTTATGGCAAGCATGGGTTGAATTTATCGCAAAGACAAGATCAAGTTCGTTGGCTTGGATAGGTATGTGTCATTTTCCATGATGCCCTCTACATATTCTGGGTCGTACCATGGAAGGACCTCTTTGTCAAAACCACAAGCAGGACGAAGACGGTAATAAAATAATCGAGCCACTCGATCTGGTCGCTTAAGATACTGTGCTTGTGCCAAATCTGGGCATCCACTGACAATGTGTTGGACAGTCTCATTAAATTCATAACATAATCTACATTTCCTATTTACATTTTGATGCAAAATAACACATTGGCGGTTTCGAGTGGGAAGGCTCTTAGCAGCAAAAAGATATCCTTCTGTTTCACTTTTGATGTTTTCATCCAAGCAAAGGACTCTACAGGGTTGCTGATCTTCCCAACACATCATATACAGAATAAAATAAAACATGCTGCCAAGACGTTTTAGGTTAGGTTGCAAATGTTAAATTTAGCGCGGTTAATTATACAGGTTACGTATCTCTACATTGGAAACACAGTATGTTTATCTTCATTCTACCATGACTAACCAAAACGCGAACCAAACAAAGCGCTCTGTATGCTCAAGCAGTTTGTTTACACGGTAATACTTCACTCGAACTTTTGACAGGCACGCAAAGCATGTAGCACGGCAACTTCGTAAGCTCAACACGAGGTGGGCATCCCTAAAGAAAACTAAGCAAGCCTTGCAAAGCTTTCCTTCTACGCGCGTCATTATTGTGACGCAATAGAAATGACGTCACGGTTGTATATGGAAAAGCGCCAAATAGCTACAAGCTCTCTACACACACCGGCGCAGTGGTGACTAAATATAACACCACTGCCACAGCGTAATTTGCATATCACATTTCTGTTGTTTGTAAACAAACGGGCTTATTCTGAAATCAGAACAGATTTGCCTGAATCCAAGCCTGTCAGTGCGCTTCACATATTGTTTTGCATGATTGTGTAGACATGCTACTACAACTGCGACAGTAAGGTGCAGAACAATATTTATCATACACTTCAGCGTGAAAGACTTGAGTTTTCCGAAGTAGAGAAAAGTGATATTTTCATTGCAGTGAACATAACTGATATTTCACTGCTGTGAAAATAACACTTTGACGGAACTATTGTCATACAAGAGTGACCTCCCCTCAAAGTATTTCCCTTTGTCGTTAGAATCTGGCCAATACACAAACTGCTGACTTCCTTTTTACGTTAGTTCCACATTGACAAGGCAAAATAATGGCAGATGGCCATTTATGGAGTTAATATTACTCAGGCAGTTTGTTATTCCTTTTAAAATGTTTCGTTATTCATTGTAAATGTCTCAATTAACTCGTCAATCGAGACTGTTCCTTTCGCAAAGCGCCATTTTTGTTACTTGACCAGCGGGTATTCTTTCGCTTCCAACAGCGGTTTGGTAGTTTTCAAGTATATGTTTTGCTAAAGTTGATGTTCTATGTAATCATATCTATATGTATGATACAGAATGTTCGTGCCCCTAAATAATTTTTGTTACTATTGTTTATATTTTTTAAAGATTCTACTACTAAACTACTTCTTTAGTCGCAAATGCAAGTGGTGGTGAACCGTCTGTGTGTGCTAGGTAGGGAGAAAATATGGTTGTAATGAACAATTAAAATTTCCGGAAGACAACTACACAAAATTTATATAACAAATAGGATATTCCATGTTCCTTGGAAATATCGTGTTTCTCTCAATCTCGTGGCCGTTGAAAAGGATATTATATATATCCTTTTTCCCCGTCACTCGATGAGAGAAGCATTATATTTCACTCGACCCATAAAGTATCCTCTTCATTTTTATACATCAAAGTGGACCGAGCTCTCCGTAGGGCTTCGATGGCAGCACGTGGAGCCGCACAACCAATGTAAACATAGGATAACTACCACAATGGAAATAGTTTTTTCACGTTTAAGGATAGTTTCTCAATGACAGTTGACCATTCTATGACGTGTTTGTCTGGATGTGTAGACTGGTCGAGAATGAAACAGATGAAAAACATTTGCAATATCTTGAATGGACTGTGTAAGATGTGAAGAATCCTCACATGGCGCTGGCCTGTGGCAGAGGTACTATGCTGGCCGCATGGGGCACTGGGTAGGAGAGCGAACTCTCTGTTGTCCTCAAAACTTAAAAATACATTCTCTTTGTAGATTCCCATCGTTTTTTCTGCACATCCATGAACAGGGCAGCAGCCGCAACTTTGCATTTTGTAGGCTATAATTGTACATATAATGACAATATAAATATGTCTACCGACAATGTCAGTAAAAAAGTACTATTCTAAATATATTAGCTTCAAATCGGCTTTTTCAATCAGAGGGCGTTTATTGTGATTTCCCAACCCCTGATTGATCAATCAAATTCGAGTATTTTCCAAATTCATGGTAGAATCATTTTAGTCACCATCAAACATGGGTTAATACTTGTTTATGCCCGGCAGTTTGTAATGGTGACGGACACAAGCATACATCTGTAAATGGCCAACAAGAGGGTATGCATACACGGGTATAACTGGCAGGGGAGCAAATAATTGTTGAGAATGTTGAAAACGTAATCTCATTAATGGGCATTGCGGAGATGACCTTATACAGGGAACGGGTGTGTGCACAAACACGAACGCCTGATGTTGACTTAACTGTGCAAAACTGAATACATTAAATAGAATGTGGACATTTATCATTCGAAAGTGAATGTGTAATGCCATATAAATAAAACTACAAAAAGCATCATAATTTATAATTAGCAGTAGCTCTGTACATTCACATCATCATAAAACTCCAAAATATGTTATTATCTAAACATTACCTGTGTCTGTATCAGGAATAAACTGCCGGGTAATAATGCATACACTTGAAAATTGGATTTGGCCCAAACATAACACACGTAACTAGGATGAAAACAGTCGCCTGTCGTGATATACTCATCAATAGGATGCATGTAACGTCGCTAATGATAACCGTACCATATATATCACTTCGAATACCCATACCTTGTTTGTATTATTTTAGCCACCGCCGGACATGGGTTAGTCCTGCACCATGACCGTGGAATAAATTTATTTTATGAAACAAAATATTCTAGAAACGCATACAAAAGCAAGTCTACAGGGGGGGGTAATACCAGGGATGCCGTTTGTAGGGCCATTTAAGGGCAGAGTGAAACCGTGTTAATCCAGGTCATTGGTTTCCATGGCGATACATGCACACAGACCATTGACTGGTATCCTATTTCTTTTGAAGACGAAGTGGTAAATACTGTTGGTTTGACCCCATTGAAGGGCGAACTGGCGTAACACGGCATAGATTTCAACCACAGCCCCTATAATAACATGCTTATGATGCAGGCGGACTCGTACAATGGACTCGTACGATGGACTCGTACATTGGACTGGTACAAAGGATCCGTACAATGGACTCGTACAATTGACTCGTGCAATGGACTCGTACAACGGACTCGTACAATGGACTTGTACAATGGACTCGTACAATGGACTCGTACAATGGACTCTAGCAGAGATTCCTAATGATAATAGACATGGTTGCGTCGTTTTTATTTGATGCATTGTTGTCACGGGTGGTCGCGATTCACTCTGGTTAAACCTATGAATCATATGACAGACGACTGGGCCATTCGTGCCCCATTCAAAACAGACCCGTGAAGATCCGGGATAGAATAGGTCTTCAGCAACCTATGCTTTCAGTAAAAGGCGACTATGCTTGTTGTAAGTTTCGACTAATGGGATCGGGTGGTCAGGCTTGCTGACTTGAATGATGCATGTCATCGTATCCTAATTGCGTGAATCGATGCTCACGATGTCAGTCACTGGATTGACTGGTCCAGTCTCGATTATTTACAGACCGCCGTCATAGAGCTGGAATATTGCTGAGTGCGGCGTTAAACAACAAACAAACAAACAAAATCATGTAAGAAAGGAGTACAGACGAAGTTTATTCAAGGTTTCAAATGCTCAAGGTTTCAAATACTCAAGGTTTCAAATACTCAAGGTTTCAAATACTACTTCGGACAAACTATACTAACCGCCAAAAGAAACGCGAACCGTAGAAACATATAGGGAAGTATGTACGTTAAAAGGAGATGATTCCAATGTAAACCATTAATGACAAAACTAACAATCAAACATGTGTTCCCACAATATGTCTTTATTCTTATCACGATATGCTGCACATGATTCCAAAACTTTACACGCTAATCCTGCTCGAGACAAATGGTACATTTTGAGTCATGGATCTATGACGTCACTTGTGATGCGTTCATGAGCGTCGGTTAACACAACATAACAGTATCTTCGTATGTGCATCGAACCAATCTAATATCTCTTGAATTTGAGTAATTTTTCATATATTCACCCACATGTATGGTATTCGCGTTTCTTTTGTCGGTGAGTATATTATGTATGTCAGTAAGGTTAGAAAATCGGAATTGTTTTGGGAAATGTGAACAGTTACTACCATCCTTGCAGCAAGTACTGTATGGACTTAAAATAAACACATATGTACATGTTTCATTGTTACCCATGTGTAGACGCATCACTTTTTAACAAACAAAAAACAGCTTAACTAACTGTACGTGATATCAAATAGGTAATTGGCTGTTTACAAGTCGCATGGGCATAATGTAAGGCGCAGGTAGGTGAAAGGTATTTACTTTGATAATAAAATACACAAGTCTTTGAAAGCCATTTAGAAGTGATACACAAAAGGAAGAGAATGTATGGATATCAACTTCTTTATTATGAGGAACACAACGTCTCGGGGTGTGTACTTACTCCTTTATTAGGTGAATGAATGCTCTCCCGTTTGCCCATTGTCCATTGTCAGTTACCAATCAGTGAGAATTTAAGTCCTGGCTTCCAGTTGTCCATAACCATCAGCCCTAATTGCTGTAAAGTGTTGGCTTCCATTGTCTATTGCTAATCAACTATCAGCGCCAATTATCCGTTGGATCCCTTGTTAAGCTTCCACCTTTTGTTATCTTATGAATTTCTTACATGTACATATATATGCTCTCTGCCTCATAGCATTCATTCACCTGATGAAGGAGTAAGCATATACTCCGAAAGGTTGTGTTCCTCATAATACATAATCCACAAATTCTCTTCCTAATTAAATATACATTTGTTTCTATTAATTCATTATAATATGATATAGAGGTGAATTTCGCCTCTCTATAGGGTGTAGTGTGATGTTTTAAAGGAATTTGTTTGATCGTTTGAAGGTGTAAGTTATACATCTTGTATATCAGAGCGACTCCCGCATTCTTCTTTATTTATGTAATAACCCCTTTTAGTTTACTCATTATCAACGTAAAGTTGTTGACACATTTGTCAAGCGAACTCCCCGGTGTGAGTCAATATTTAACATGCTCCGTGTTCATTTGTTTATCCTTAAGTCACATCTCAACATTAACATCACAATGGAGGCCAAGAATCTCAATAAAGCTGTCTACCCTCAGTGTCTCGTCAACGATACAGCTTGCTACACATTGCTGTTTCTGGTTAAAACTTATGTAATACCCCTAATAATATACATAATAATAGGGGTTCGATCCCCGGCCTCGTCATACCAAAAGACGTTAAAAGATGGTACTTGTTGTTACCCTGTCTGGCGCTCGGCACTAAGGGGCTAAAACAGGGACTGGTCGGCTCGGAGTCAGTATACTGTGTCTGAGTGGGGTATTCATGTTAAACTGCGGCATGGTATCTCAGTGGGCTAGCACTATAAATCGGCATCAGTCCGGACTAGTACAAGCAGCCACACAAACACACACACGTACATGCACGTCTCTATATAAGTGCAATAACCTTGGACGCGACGTTAAACCCCATTTCACCTCACCTACATAATAATATAGATGAGTGTGTAATGATTTGTAATATGGTTTCTGAATGAACATTATTCTATTGAATGTTTCTTAAACATTTAAACATTATTGATAAACCTGAAGTTGCTGATTTTAGCTATGTGGTATTATTCTAAAATTTAATCATTCCTGGTCTTTATACTCTAGAAATGTAAACAGGCGATCCAGTATGAAGCGACATTATGGATCGGGTGGCTTTGGGTGATTGAAGGTAGTCATTTGCCCATGATATCAATCACTGGTTTGTCGGGTCCAGACTCGATCATTTACAGGCCGTCAGCTTATCCGGAATGATATTACACTACATGGGGGCAAAAAGTGACACTCGTTTATCCGAATTGATATTACACTACATGGATAGAAAAAGTGAGACCCATTTATCCGGACTGCTATTACACTACATGGGTAGAAAGTGAAAGCCCGTTTATCCGGACTAATATCACACAACATGGAGAGAAAAAGTAAAAGCCCGTTTATCTGGACTGTGTCCTTCTCAATGAATTGGCCTGATCATATCCAGATTCACAAATGGCGGCTTAGTAGAAGTGTAACAGTAAACTACCGTGCAAAAGAATATTGGATTTGACCAAACAATTACAAACATCATGAAATCGTTACAAGGTTCAAAACTGCAAGTCCAAGGTTCAAGACACGACTATAATACCGTATCAAATACATCATCATCAAAAAACAATTCTTGTTTATTTCATATTTAGCCCATCAAACATATACTTTTTTTTTGCCCGACAATTCAGTAAATATCCAACTCCATCAATGAGTCAATATTAAATCCTGTAATACTCAGTTGTAAAAGCAGTGATAAGATCCGGGGTAGAATAGGTCTTCAGCAACCCATACTTGCTGTAAAAGGCGACTGTGCTTGTCGTAAAAGGCGACTCTGCTTGTCGTAAGAGGCGACTAACGGGATCGGGTGGTCAGGCTCGCTGGCTTGGTTGATGCATGTCATTGATCCCAATTGCGTGGATCGATGATCATGACATAAATCACTGGATTGTCTGGTCCAGACTCGATTATTTACAGACCGACGTCATATAGCTGTAATATTACTGAGTGTGGCGTTAAACAAAAAACAAACAAACAAACTGATAACACTCACCTTAAGCGAAACGAGAGCACCAGTGATCCTGCGCTACTGATGATTTCCACATCGCACGCTTGGACACAACTCCCGAACCACACCCAGAGGTGGGATGTGAGCATTCCGTATTCAGCATCACGGGAATACCGCGTTTTTTATTTACTTAAAACGTGGAGAATAGCTTCCTATCTCCCGTGTAGATATCGCGTGTACAGTGTGTGGACAATAGCATAATGTCACTCACTTTCTACGGTGAACTCTGTAAGTTATATGACTAAAACTATTTGTTATAGTCACGCCGCTCCCAAGTCACAAGGTCTGCAGTGTGTGTCATATTTTTTTTAATTTGTTGTTTAATGTCACGCTCTCAAACCATACATATAAAAGCTGACGGCCTGTAAATAATCGAGTCTGGACCCGACAAACCAGTGATTGATATCATGGGCAAATAACCACACCGCCGATGGATGACTACCCTGTATCAACTAAGGCCGATCAACCCAATCAACCCAATCAACCAAATCAACCCGATCCATTATGTCGCTTCATACTGGAACAACTGTTTACAATTCTAATTGTAATACAGTAAACTACGGTTATAACGAACTCAAAGGGACCCCTTATTTTAGTTCGTTATAACCGTAGTTCGTTATAAGAATATATACAGCATATATACAACAAATGGCCGGGACTAAAAAATAAGTTCGTTATATCGGTCAGTTCGTTATAAGCGTGTTCGTTATAACCGTAGTTTACTGTATACTACTTTAAATAAATTAACGAACACCCTTTTCTTTCACATTACTGTGGTTAATTTGTCATGACATGACAGAATAGCCATAATAAACTACAGTATCATGCAATACCTGTTTAAATTATATACTATGGTATCGTAATATACCTGTTAAAATGGTTATTACCTGTGAAAACCAGGGTTAGAATAACACCTCAGCAAGCCATGCTTGTCGTGAGAGGCGAGTCACGGGATTGGGTGGTCACGCTCGCTGACTTGGTTGATGCATGTCATCGATCCCAATTGCGTGGATCGATGTTCATGATGTCAATCACTGGATTGTCTGGTCCAGACTCGATTATTTACAGACAGCCGTCATATAGCTGGAATATTGCTGAGTGCAGCGTTAAACGACAAACACTAAAATGATCATAGTATTATACAACAACAGTCTATAATGTACCACCGATTGTAAAATAAATGGGAGTCTCAAAAACTGATTCATATAGGCTGAGAAAAGTTGGATCCTGGATATCTTTCTGATTTTTCTCTGAATGCAAGTCTTAATAACATTTTCCCCCCTCAATTCGAAATTTGAAATGATAAATATTTATCAGAATAACTGAGAGAGAGAGAGAGAGAGAGAGAGAGAGAGAGAGAGAGAGAGAGAGAGAGAGAGAGAGAGAGAGAGAGAGAGAATTTATGATAACATTTGTATTTTACAAAGTCGAGTCCAACTAACAAACGTACAAACACATGGTGAAAAGACACACGTTAGTTCACGGACTTGCTCATAGTTAGATTGTCTCTTGGATTTATTATAATAATAATCGCCATCATCATAATCATAATAATAATGATAATAATAATAATAAGAAGAAGAAGAAGAAGAAGAAGAAGAAGAACAACAACAACAACAACAACAACAATAACAATAATAACACTAAAAAGAAATCAGGTCCATGGGAGTAAATATCCACAGCTGTCCGGGGACCCTTTGTACTCCGAATTCCACACCATGCTTTTGTGTTTTAACACGAACAATAACAGCTTCAAAATGCATCTCTTCCGTTATATTTCAATTCGTAGGGGCTCGTTGACGGTGGGGATAAGAACATATGCGATAAAGTGTCTCTTAACAGCCATTTGGGGTCATCAACCTTTCAAACTCTGCATGTCCCCGTCGGATGATCAAATGTCATCACAGGAGGCCATTCATCATGCGTAGGAAGGGCAGATAACTCTTTGCCTTCAGGCGGAATAATATCAGCTCGTCGCGTGATACGGAGAAGCACCTCCCTTATTATCCGTCACAGTGACGTCATTATGATTGACATTTAGAACGTCTTACCAACTTGTCTTTGTATGCGTTATATGTCACACCCGCCCTCTTTGTTACTTTGACATGTTTAAATGTTTTTAATGTACACGTGTGCTTGAAACCTGACATTTCGTACACGAAACATGTATGTATACATTAAGTAATGAGATTTCAACATTATATTAGATGACATCGCATATATTTACGTTGAATTTAGTTGCTTTGCACATACTCCTTATTTTACGAAATGTAATTGTTTTTCATGATGTTAAGAGGTGGATAGTTACTTCAAGTCTTTTTAGATTATAGATTCACATGGACCTTCGGCGTGACGATCGAACACTTAAACCACAAGGCTTCCCCACCGCCGTGTGAAGATGGCAATTTTCATTGTATGAAAAACGTCCATTTTGGTTTATGCTGTCTGTTTTGTGGTGGTTTTGTGCAATGATGATAGGGGGATGACTGTCTGTTGTGGTCTTGTGCGGTGATGATAGGTCGTTAGTGTCTGGTATGGTGTTCTGCAATGATGATAGGGTCGTTAGTGTCTGTTGTGGTCTTGTGCGGTGATGATAGGGTCGTTAGTGTCTGTTGTGGTCTTGTGAGGTGATGATAGGGTCGTTAGTGTTTGTTGTGGTCTTGTGTGGTGATGATAGGGTCGTTAGTGTCTGGTGTGGTCTTGTGTGGTGATGATAGGGTCGTTAGTGTCTGTTGTGGTCTTGTGTGGTGATGATAGGGTCGTTAGTGTCTGTTGTGGTCTTGTGTGGTGATGATAGGGTCGTTAGTGTCTGTTGTGGTCTTGTGTGGTGATGATAGGGTCGTTAGTGTCTGTTGTGGTCTTGTGTGGTGATGATAGGTCGTTAGTGTCTGGTGTGGTGTTCTGCAGTGACGGTAGGGGATTACTCTCTGTTGTGGTCTTGTGAGGTGATGATAGGGTCGTTAGTGTCTGTTGTGGTCTTGTGTGGTGATGATAGGTCGTTAGTGTCTGTTGTGGTCTTGTGTGGTGATGATAGGGTCGTTAGTGTCTGTTGTGGTCTTGTGTGGTGATGATAGGTCGTTAGTGTCTGGTGTGGTGTTCTGCAGTGACGGTAGGGGATTACTCTCTGTTGTGGTCTTGTGCGATGATGATAGGTCGTTAGTATCTGGTGTGGTTTTCTGCAGTGATGGTAGGGGATTACAGTCTGTTGTGGTCTTGTGCGGTGATGATAGGTCGTTAGTGTCTGGTGTGGTGTTCTGCAGTGATGGTAGGGGATTACAGTCTGTTCTCGTCTTGTACGATGATGATAGTGTGATTCCTATCTGTTGTGGTGTTGTGAAGTGATGATAGGGGAATTACCATCTCTTCTGATCTTTACGATGATGATAGTGTGATATCCTATCTGTTGTGGTGCTGTGAAGTTATGATAGGGGAATTTCTTTTTCTGGTTTGGTGTTGTGCAATGAACCCCAAGGGCGAGGGCGTGTTCTACAGGGCAGCGTACCCCCTCTCCCGAGTGTTGTTCAGGGCAGAGTACGCCATCCCCATACAGTTCGTGACCTTCATAACGTTAACGTCAATATATTCAATGATGTATATACATTGTCAGTCATCTCACACACGCCTGTACATTGTGTGCCTGTCCTGGTAACGAGAAATACTTATCTAACGACACAAACAATCGGTTTTTGACGCAGTCTTTTTTATTGTTGGTCTGATCAATCAAACTCGACAGTTCGACATACGACGTTCAAGGGATATATGATCCAGAAGTGCCCATCAAAGACTGACAGTGATAAAGTTTTGTCGAGCTGTAGAAACAAGCAGGGCGAGATAGGTTAGTTCCAACTTGGCAGCCCGTCCCACGTTGTTGTTGCTTTAAACCCGTTACCGCGGTGACACATAGTCATTAATTATGACGACTTTATAGAGAAAAGAAGCCAGAAGTGCGACAATTCAAACGAGAAATCTGACGGTTGACTTTGTATTTTTCATCTTAAAGAATCGTGGAAATAAGGCTGTTAGATTATATCCAGTGAGGATACGTTTTTTGTGACCACGCCAACACGGACATTCCAGTGTTAATATTCAGGATCAGTGTGGCCGTTAGGATGTATATCCTATATCCGCGCTGTCTACGCGTGTTATGCAATTGCTCATGAACTACATGGACCCACCCTTCGGAGTTTCCATAGTGAAGTCTCATATTTCCAAGGATTCTGTGAAATAAGTTTTAACATAAATCAACATAACCTTTGAAAAAACAGCACATTGTGAACAGGGAAGTAACTGTATTGTGCAGAAAGACATTGATCCCTTAAAAGCATATTGTTGCCATACGTAACACCCAGACATACAGTGCCTTGTACGTCTACATCACGTTGCTCGGTGAAGGATCTCCCCACCCTGGAAAGACCACGGCGTCGAGCCACCCGTCACAGCCGTTCAGACACGTACGCGTTTATTCAAAGAAAACAAACGGAACTGAGATATTCATAAAGGGCGTGGTCTTCAATACGCCCAGCATGTGCAAACAGTGTGTACTGTGTGAACTACAGCTTGAATTTGTTCTTTCATAAAGGAGCCTGACTCACGCCCCTCTTTGCAAACACTTGCCGCTGGGGAGTCAGAGATTTGTCCTTACGCAGGTCACGCCATTACATAGTCGATGCCAGTTGCGGTCATTTCGTAATTTCAAATTTACTTTAAAAATATTTCCCTTTTTGTGTACATCCTTAACAGATCCTTATTTATAAAACAGACCCGCTTTTATTTCGAAGAATTAATATATTAAATACATCAAACCTTAAATTAAAATGAGAGAACTGGTTAAACAGGAAGTATGCTAATAATTGTAATAGTTTAGTATATTAAAATACAATGAACACATGCATTGACATGTTTGTATATAAGGAGAATCCGAATGAAGTTTTTGGCATATTTCATAGGCAATAAAAATATCAAGTTGTGAAACTTGTGACCTTTAACATATTTGGGGTGTAAGAACATTTGCCCTTTATGAAAGGATGACTGTATAGTAATAAAGTCACATATATGCTGAAATTTGACACCGAACGCAGTATCAAAGGCTAAAACGTCAAGTAATTTACCAAAACTGGCAAATATTTTAAGGATGATCCTGATAGCACTTCGTGAAGAGGTGTGAGGAATTCCTGCAGTCTACATCAAGACACGTGTTTGTGTGGAAAGTGACAGTTTATTGTCGGAGGTGTGGTTTCACTGTTGTAACAAAGGCAACAGGTTTACGCAATGTTGACACCTGTACAAACCTTATCTCGAAGAGGAACCGATACCTGAACATATTACTGATTACCCGTGATGGAATTATCAAAACACAATAAGGTAAGTGGAAGAGCAGTGTATCACATAACATCATTCGTAATATTTTATCAATATATCTTATCTAATTCAACATCCATTTATTTTGAGATAATTCTATACAAAAAAAAACATATTAATATATTCCCCTATGCCAAAATTATGTGTTTAGAAGGCCATTTTTTCGCATAACATCAGCGATGATATTTAATGCGGCATCCTTTCATGTTGAGAATGATTCTTTTAAAAAATATTTATATATATTCTCCCCATGCAATTAAGATGTGATTAGAAGGTCATTTAATCACATAACATCAGCAATGATATTTAATGATGGCATTAAATGATTTTAAAATATACAAAAATACAATTTAAAAAATTAGATATAAAAATATTTTTCGAAAATCAAATAATAACGTTTGTTGGAAAGTTAGTTTTTTACATAACATCGGTGATCAAGTTTAAATTTTGAGTATGATTCTGTACAAAAAAACATAAATATATTCCCCAATGCAAAAAGATGTGATTAGGTCATTTAATCGCATAACATAAGCGATGATATATAAAAGCCTTTAAAACATTTTAAAATATATAAAATACGATAAAATAAAATTAGATACAAAAATATATTTCAAAAATTAAATAACGTTAGTTGAAAAGTTTGTTTTTTACATAATGATGATAAAGTTAAATGCAAAAATATATTACCATAATGAAGTTATCATGTCGCCACTGTGTTTATTACGCCATGAAAAGTAATGGACTTTATTTAAATGCTAATCGCCAAGAATCACAAATGAGATCACAGGTGAGATAGCATTTGAAAGATTATTTAATTATCAAAACATTTGTCAAATGTGAAAGAATATAAATACAATCAATCTCCCTTGATGAAATGTATGTTTGACAAGATGTACAAAAAACAATTAAAAATTCACTTTGTATGGTATTGTGTTCGAAGTATTAATGCCTTTGTTTATACAGTTCAACAAATAGCACAGAAGATGGCATAATATTGTTTATACATCCTTATTATAAACTGGCACAAGCGGGAATTATTCAAGTCATGAGCTTTGGAAAAAGGCATGCATTTCACTTTCCATAACACGCTTTTTAAATTTGACCCCAAAAATGGGCTGATCAAATTGATTTGGCATCATCAACCAAATTCGCCATGTCTAATGAGGAAACAGCTGTCATAAATTGTTTCAAATGTATTCGTCCATGTAAAAATATTATCCTGTCCACCTCCTACAGAACTTCTGCCAAATTGAAATAGAAATGAATGAATAAATTTACCTGTTTTATTACGTAAATGTCCATTATGTATCGAGATTTCAATAGTGGCGTTCCGGTTGAGGTGCTATTTATTTTATCGAGCATGTGATCATCAGCTGGATGAGATATGTTTACATCGCTAAGATTACAAATAAACAAAACAACAACAAACAGAGTAAGCCATGACGACAAGTGATGCAACTCGGAACGACGACTGTAACAGCAATGTTGTCATAAGATGCTTTTACACTTGACATGGTTTTGCATGTGTTTGTGACGGGTGCCCCCGGGGCGGGGGTGGGGGTGTGGATGGGGGGATTTAGAGATTTAGTATGATTATGGAAAGGGTTTGTCCGTTTATTGAAACAACACGCTGTCATATTTTGGCAAGTTGGTTTGAACATTTGATTTGCCTTGTCATGTATTTGTGAACAACTTGTGTCATAATAGTTGATAGTGATTCATTTACATTAAGGGTGAACATAAACTGAAAGCATTTCTAAATATTTCTGATTTATGTATAGGACAATGGTATAACTAGGGCAATGAATTGAGAAGATCTGGATGATGATGTACTGTTGTCACGATGAGATAAGGTACGATATGTCTCGCATAAAGTCAGAATGGACATCTGCAGGTATACTCGATGACACAGGAATCATATCACGACTTTGTTTTGTGTAAAAGTCAAATTTTAAAGATAAATATAACCTTTAACTTATTCGTGATATCATTAATCCAGTTAGATGTTTGTGTATTTCAGCCAATATTTACTTACTCCCAACAAGACACAAATTCAATCTTCTCATGTCAACTGAACCTGACACTCCAATCAAGCAGTTATCACTTTTTGTTTATCTCTGGAGATCTAGATAAAAAGGCTGTGCATGCTTTGTAATGAAGGTTGCGTCGAAGATGAATACCAATTTTTGATGGTTCGGGTCAAGAAAAGAACAATGCGTGAGAAGTACATAACTTGTTTGTTTGTTTGTTTGTTTGTTTGTTTGTTGTTTAACGCCGCACTCAGCAATATTCCAGCTATATGACGGCGGTCTGTAAATAATCGAGTCTGGACAAGACAATCCAGTGATTGACATCATGCGCATCGATCCACGCAATTGGGATAAATGTTATGCATCAACCAAGTCAGCGAGCCTGACCACCCAATCCCGTTAGTCGCCTTTTACGACAAGCAGAGTTGTTTTTTTACAGCAAGCGTGGGTTGCTGAAGACCTATTCTACCCCGGATCTTCACGGGTCAAGTACATGACTACGAAATTCATATAATACCCTCGACGTAACAAATACAATATGACTTTGGCATCAACGGATACGAATGAAATCAGATACATGGCTATGCATATTTGTTATGCAAATTGCTTTCGAAAGATCCAGGTTACTGATTATATATATTATTATGTATATTATATGATAAATAAGGATAAGATATATAGATGAACAACTTTATTACAATTTTATCCATTTCTCTTATCCTTACTTAGTACTCCTACTTCTAAATGCCTCTCACGGAAATTATTATATACTGACTGATCACATGTATAATCATGGCCGGTGGCCTATATTCTTCATGATGAAGATCTACCTATATGTTTATCCAGCAATCTCTGTCATAACGCTATATTTCCTCACTCAAGAGGCACACAACAGAACTAACTGAAATACATTTTTCCCTAAAATACTAGGGACGCTGTTTCCAGGAAGGCTACGTTCAACTCTTAGTAGAGATTCTAATGAACATGTAAAGGCTTTTGTCGCTATTTATTTTAGTTTTGTGTTGCATGAAATATATGGGGTAATGTGTACATTTCCTTGCGAGCCATACGTTGATAAATAATCTCTGGAATAACTGTTTTTACTGATATCTTTACTTTATTAATTCCCCAAGGTAAATCATATAATTTTCTAATGTGGAACGGATACCAAAAATACCTCCTCGATAAGACACCGTGAAAAGATCGCATAAATTACTGGGCGGATTTGTGATATAAATAATTTCATGTTTTACAATATTAATTAAAATGTTTCCAGAAGGTCCTTGATATCCATGTTGCTGCCCAAAAACGATTGTTTGGAGAATACGTGCGAAGCATGAAGAAAACAATGTACAGTAAACTACGTTTATAACGAACACGCTTATAACGAACTGACGGATATAGCGAACTTACTTTTTTTTCCGGACTCATTGCTGTAGCTATGTTGTATATATGCTTATAACGAACTACGGTTATAACGAACTAAAATTAGTGGTCCCTTTGAGTTCGTTATATCCAAAGTTTACTGTATGTACAGCAAACTACGGTCATAACGAACACGCTTATAACGAACTGACGGATATAACGAACTATTTTTTTGGTCCTGTCTATTTGCTGTATATATTCCGTACATTTGCTTATAACGAACTACGGTTATAACGAATTAAAATTAGTGGTCCCTTTTAGTTCGTTATAACCGTAGTTTACTGTAATCTAAATGCATGCCGTCATCATGTGCGTCGACAAACGTAAGCCGTGAACAACACCTGTGTCCCAACTGTCTGGGTGATTAATCAATGTATCGGTGTTTGAGGGGTGGTTATTGTTCTGTTGTGACAAAGTCATGATTTTCCACATTCAGCCCCGAGGCGAGACATACGGTACCACACCTTACTCCCTTTAGTCAATAACCGAAGGAGCTGTGAACTGTCAACTCTGACCCCGAACTGTGACCTCGCGTGTCGGTCACGTGGACATTTATGAATGACCAGATTAGATGTGGCTTCACCACGTGCGGTGTTAAACGAAAGTGACGCTCTGGATATTTCACGGATGATCATGGATACAATGGTACTGATCAATGACACTTGTTATTATGATGATTAAGGTTATATTTATGTAGTTGACAATTGTAATTACGATGATCAGTATAATGGTAATAGTGATTTAGTCATGATGACGATCAAAGTTAAGTGAGTGAATGAATATGGTTTTACGCCGCCTTCAGCAATATTCTAGCAATATCACGGCTGGGGACACCAGAAATGGGCTTCACACATTGAACCCATGAGGAGAATGGAACCCGGGTCTTCGGCGTGACAGCGAACGCTTTAACCACTAGGCTACCCCAGCGCCATGTTCAATGAAAGAAAAAATGTTTTTGTTTTATTTACATCCTTATTTGTTTCTGTAAATAATTGAAACAAATAATTAACAGTGTATCCATTTCGAAAAGTATTACAAAATCAGGAAGGAGAAATAGACGATTCTTAGCGGACTTAAATTGCTGACCAGACCACAGAAGAAACAAGAGACTTTCAGAAGCCTCACCGCATGATCAGATTCCACAAGGGGCAGGTTAACAACCAAATGGGGTACATGGTATTTATTTAATGTATATTATAAAAAACATTTGTTATTTTAAGCGACCTCATATACAGGATTGTTCCAGTTGAACTAACATAACCACAGAGGCTTCCTGGTGGGGTATTTCTCAAATCCAATCTACGTCTAAGACCTGCATCACTTCGGGCTTTCCTCCCATATTAAGCTGACACGCCGTGATATAACTGTGATAGTGTTAAAAGCGGCGTTAAACCCCGCTCACTCACTCACTCACTCACTCACTCACTCACTCACTCAAATCCAATCTATGTCTGAGACCTGTATCACTTCGGGCTTTCCTCCCACATTAAGCTGACACGCCGTGATATAACTGTGATAGTGTTAAAAGCGGCGTTAAACCCCACTCAC